AACAACGGAAGCAGAATTACCACTGAACATCAACCCCCCGACGAGAACAGATGTCCTGAAGGCAATAAAGATTCTAAAAACTGGAAAAGTAGCAGGACCAGATGGAATCCCAGCAGAAGCATTGAAAACGGACCTGGAGACAACAGCGGACTTGATGACTAAACTACTGGAGAAGGTGTGACTGCTGATTGGAAGAAAGACTACTTATTCAAAGTGCCAAAGAAAAGAGACTTATGTCAATGCAGGAACTGGCGCGGAATTATGCTCCTGTCCATCCCAAGCAAAATACTTAGCCGCATCATCCTGGAGAGAATCAAACAAACCCTGGATGAAAAACTTCGACCGGAAAAGGCTGAATTCAGGAGAAAAAAGTCATATATTGGTCAAATCGCCACATTACGGATCATCATTGAACAAAGCCTGGAATGGCAGTCACCTCTCTATCTCTACTTCATTGACTATGAAAAGGCCTTCGATAGCGCAGCGTTGATCGAGAGGTGATTTGGCGACTACTTCGCTACTATGGGGTGCTACCCACAATTATACATCTCAACCAACAGTTGTACGACAATGCTGCATGCCAAGTAATCTACAACGGGAAACTTACGGAATCCTTCAAAGTGAAGACGGGAGTAAGACAAGGCTGCCTACTATCGCCAATGATTTTCCTGATTGTAGTAGACTGTATAATGTGACAGACAGCGGGCAGCGAGGAAACAGGCATAAAATGGACCCGCACAAAAACCTGGAGTATATGGACTTCGCCGATGATATATGTCTGATTTCCCACAAACTGGAAGATATGCAAGCGAAAAGCAGCAAGTTGGCAGAAGAAGCATCAAAGATAAGACTTCGGGCGGACATAGAGAAAACAGAGGTGATGAAGATTCCTGCGCAACACCACAAATAGCAACAACAACAACAGACAACAATCGGCATAAATGGGAGGAACCTGAAAGAAACAACCTCCTTTACCTACCTGGGAAGCATCGTTTCAACTGCATGCGAATGGAACTGATGAGGATATCAAAGCAAGAATCGGAAAAGCAAAACAAGCTTTCACTACTCTCAAGTCTGTGTGGAGGTCAACAGCATTCAGTGCCAAAAATAAGATCCGGATTTTCAACTCCAATATGAAGTCAGTGCCACTACACTATTTATTTTTTAAATTTTGATCACAGCTTAATTCCACACCGCATTTTCAGTACAAGTATGGAATTTTCAGCATAGATATCGGTAGCCCAAATTTCAGGCCAACCATAGATATCGGGTGTGCGCCGGCAGGGGATCGAACCCCAGACCATGAGCATGGTCGGCGAGAGTCCTAACCACTGTGCCGCGGATCAGAGACTTGGCCAGTGCGTCATAAACAGCATCTCAAACAAGCTACAGACCTTCATTAACAGTTTTCTTCGCTCAATGCTCAAGATCAGATGGCCGGCCAGCAAAGATCAGCAACAGGGATCTCTGGGGGCGAACCAACCCATTGGGAACCAATTGTGCAAGAAATATGCAGGAAGAAATGGAGGTGGATTGGCCATACTCTGAGAAAACCATCAGGTGACATCACACGCCAGGCCATTGTTCGAGTGGAACACAACTTACTGAAGATTACAGAGAAGGGAAAATCATTAGATTAATTAAAGGTTGCCTACAAAAATAGTAGAGTTGATTTATATGTAACTGACTACACTGATGACTAGAATGGCGCTCGTTTGCCACTCTACCAACAGTTGTGGTCTTTTAGACGGGCTAGAGTGGACATGCTAATGTATCTTTCTGGGATCTGTTTAAGCACCAAGTTCCATCTGCACGCACAATATATATGTTTTTCCAAAAAAGTCTATAATGCTTCTAGAAGAGCACTATTAGGTTAATTAGTAAGTGTATGATCTGAATAAATAATAAAAACAATTTTTCAGGTGATTGCTTGATTGGCGTTTACAAGTAAATATTTTACAGACAATATATTCAAGTAGCTAAATGGTTCATTAAGCTTGAGACACTTCAGAATACATCACTGGTCGACATCCAGTAGATCAATGAAAGCATTGTGAAATGATAAAATTATTTGATAATAAGTCATGCAGTAATTCCTAAAGACTGAATAAACAATGTTAACACTAATAATCAGGGCCTTATGACAAATAATAACAATAATTACAGCGATAATAACAGCGTTCATGGTCGTAGGAGCTATATAAATAACAACCGCAAGAGCTATTACTACCGCAACGAATTCATTATTTGCTTAGATAGGCGCCTACTAGTAATATCAGTAAAGCGTATTACTTAATCTCATGGAGGGAGCTTTCACTTTCACTGGTAGTGATGAGGTCAGTTAATTTCCACTGCGCGAATTCAGTATTAATCCTGAAAGGGAATGGGCATCTTATGTATTTCGATTAAAAGCATGAAGCAAACATGTGTTACATTACTCACGATGGTCTTCTCTGATACCTGTTTTCCGATTTCCGTGACAACAATAAACGATACACAGGTACTTATATGCTGCATCAACCGTGTTATTTTAATCACAACCAGTCCGAATGCTGAGTATTCTATACTAATTTAAGATTCGTTGAATATAATGGTCAACCGACAACTGAAGCCGCATAAAGTTAAGACGTCTTCGGAACGTTAGATGCATTCTTGACGTTTTTGCAAAGTCCTTAAAATTTGGTATCGAACAAATTCACTGAATTTAGCTAATAAATCCATTGACATATAGTTTCATTCATGTGCTGCAATAGTATCTATTGTCAGTCAGAATAAAATGCTCCTGGGAGATGAGGACCTCACCAAACGGCAAAATTACCGCAACTCTAATGACAAACAACCCAATAACAAGCAACATGGTCAGTCCTTTGTCTCACTGGCAGGTTTACGAAATTACGTCCATCGACAGACTATCACAGATTAGTCGTGTTGAATTTGGATGAGATCAGTGCACACTAGGATAATGCACTAGAAGCGCTGCGGGTTTTGTAAATTGCAACATCTGCGGATCAGTTTTTAGAGCATGACCTGACGCATTACCATTACTGAGCACTGCTAAAGTCCTCATCATATTGAACCATATTCTGATATTTTTGGAATATTATCTTTTCCCTGATGTTTGGTGAGAGATAATTTACTACGCGATAAGTTTTGTATATCGCATTGACTTGATTTCATTCATTTACTTCATGCGCTAAGACCGAAGTACCTAGCTTTTGTTCTCTAGACGCACTAACCTGAATTCCACAGCATACGAGGGTTGCTTTAGCGATAATGCTAACTGCAGCAAAATGGGTTCTCTTTAGTAATAATTCGTCGCTAGAAGGAAAGACATACCACTGCTTGGACGCCAGTGGTGAAGCTGTTGACAGTACAAAATTAAATATAAGCCTCGAGCAGACATGGTTCGCAAAACCCTGGTCGAAACACGTCCCAATACTCCGACAGAAAAGGATGTAGGAACGGTTATCAAAGTGCTGAAGAATTCCTTGCACGAGCTGCTACCACATTGTGAGCTCATGATGATGAGCACTTGCCAAAGAAATGGAGGTGGGAAAGGGAAGGCAAGTGTATTTTAATACTCCAACCTCTCAGAAGTCGAACAAGGACACTTGTACATGATATGCCGCCCATCGGTAGAAAAGCAGAGGCCTTGAAATAAGAGCTTTCACCACAGCTTACCTGATCTTGCTGACAGGTCTGTTGTTTGCTGCAATGTGAAAGAAGTGGTCTAATCAGGCTCAGAGGGGGAGCCCTAGCACAAGCTCGTTTTTCTCCGACGCGCTACGGACAACATAGTACCAGCAACAGTGGCAGGTGCAGCATTTATTTTGCCTACAGGTATCTTAGTTCTCACCACCAAGGACTGGGAGTCGGTAAACCATAAACCACAGTTACTGCAGAGATGACGCAGCATAAATTTTATTTGCTTCTGAACTGCAGGAAATATCACAGTTAAATCAAACTAATGGAAACAAAAATCACTACCATTCAAGAGGAAAATAAACTGACAGGATAGTAATGATATGAAGAATAGAATGCTTACTGAATAACGCATGCGTACACACGACAAGCTGGAAGTATAACAGGCATGCATGGTCAGCCCTGGAGAGTGGGCCATTACAAAAGAATAACCAGTTGTCACATAGGAATGAATAAGCAAGGATCGGATAATTTTAGTTGGTAAGCTACCATCATATCTGTCTTTCTCTAAGAAAAACAGGCATCACAAACCACAGTATGTGCCGACCTACCAAAAAGCTGACTCTGCACTTAGCCAATGTTATGTCTTGCGAAAATTACCTCAAACTCTAATTCTGAGGGAGACACAGTATAAATGTAGTTTCATCATCTAGGATAGATGGTTTGGTTGCCAAGCTTTCATCATCTTTCAAGACAATATCTTTAGGTCACACTTCTAGTTGAAGTTGGTCCTCAGAATTCTCCGGTAGTTTTCTGGACACCAGTCCTGGTAACCCATAGTTTCCGGATGGTATAGGTTATTTTGCTGACCTGAACGTCGACTTTATGTCCACGTCATTTCCATTTTGTTGAATGGTGAATCCTGTCTACATCAGTTTGTTTGCCGATTTCAGACTGCCCTGAGCACAAGGCTGCTAGAAATTCCCTGACATTTATAGGGTTTCCTTTGCCTAGGATTTGTGAATTTCCCCGGTCTAATTGTTGTCCTTGGTTGTCTGCATGCATTCATATGAGTTGTAAATTTCCCTTACCATATATAGAGTTGCAATGATGAGTGACTGTTATATACACGAGGGATACGATACATGCATTCACGTAGACCTCTTGTTATGAGTGCACATCAGAAGACTTCGCAGTAGGACGTAATCCCAACAACACAAAAGACAGCCTCTCAAGAAAGAAATAAGATTCGTAAATATCAAGATATCAGCGCTCAGTAAGTGTCTGTTTGCGTCTACAAAAAATATATTCTATTTTAGCAACTATGTAAAAATTTAAGGTATTCAGTTAAAGCACAATAAATACCCTATATTTCATGTGGCGCGTTTTTGAGTTTGGTTTTGATTTTCCGAACGTTTTGTTCATCAAGATTATTTTGAAGAAGTAAGTAGAAGGTAATGATTGTGCACATTCTGCAATATTAATTGGATGGATTTAAACCATAAAGGTCACTTCGACCAACTTTACCACTAACCATAGGTAAATAATCACAATTGTAATAGTTAGAAAGATGAATGTAAATCATGGTGTTCTGAGGTCCCTTAATATTTCTGATTCCATTTTTTAATCTGCCGCTAAGTTCTATTCTCAAAACTCGTCTTATACCATGAAGCTTTTTTTGCACAACTGCAACTAATCCATTATACATACAGTAATCTGACGCCCGACCATTCCAAAACTCGTTAAGTAAATCCAAAAAGAAGGTATTATTTGATTTGGTAACTTCAGTTAGTCGTCCAAAGTCTTGTGTTGGATAGCTGCCATAGTTCATCATCTCCGTAAATTGAATTTGTTTGGTATCTCCCTTTCCACGGGGACAGAATGCACACATCCAATGCATATATCTGTAAAAGAGTTACTGCGTTTGGGGAGTCTTTTCATAGAAGTGCCAAAAACGGGTTGAGAATTAAAATGCTTTTACACAAGAGTTGTTGCACTGGTTGAACTCACTTGTGCAGAAAAATGTTAGCAGAGTAAGAAACTAATGAACTTTTTCATTAAAAGCACGGGATAAAACTGATAAAGTTGGTGGTTAATTCATTGAGAACATTCGTGGAAGGAAAGTGAGTGAAAATGTGGGGAAAAAGAAGAAAAGATGTGGCAAATGGGATCTAATGTTGCACTTTACCCATATCTTGTCCGATGAAAATTGCCAATTCACCCCACGTTTTACCCACCTTCTATATGCATTGTGGGACTAGCTTATATAAGAATAGAACCTGGGTACTGTGGGAGAGTATAATTCCATCATATAGTAAATTCGATGAAATCACACATCGTTATGTAGTATTATTTACTGATGATGCAGTGAACACAATTTATTCCTCATAAACATATTGAGGCACTCACAAAACTCTCTAAGTTCGTTTATATGAACGAAGTCAAGGTCAGCTGAGACCGAAAATTTGGGCTCAACATAATCAGTCAACTGGAAATGCAAATTTGTTTGCTTTATTAAAATCTGCATCTAGTGGCAGCCCCTGATCATTTTAGAGAAGATTCGCAAGCTGCACTTCAATAAGTGGCCAGTGGATAAATAACTGGAACCTATGAACATTATCTAAACAATTATAATAATGCTGTAGGTAGACGTAAAGTAACAAACAGCAAATAACAATGACGAGGTTTACAAAGTTTTTGAGTATGACCAATTTTTTGGAGAACTCTGATTTTTTTAAAACAGTGCCTTCCCGAATGATGCATGGTTCTCTATTTTACACTTCATCCAACAAAATTGTGTTCAATGGAAAAACTGTTCAATCCATCTAAACTAATATGCAATTTATGGTCTTGTATGAATAAAATTCTAGCTTGGAAATCCATGATGCTCCTAATAACATGACTTGATCAATACCAATGGTGGATTTTGTAAACTGTTGACGTTTTCTCGTATGAGTTCTTTAGGTTTCTGAACGGAATCTATCCAAAAGATTTTTAAGGTTTGAAAGCTATTAAAATGTAATAAATTCAGTAGATTACATATCAACATGTTAAAATCTAGATGATAACATGCATACAATAGGTGTCTTTGTCTGCAAGACTGGTACGTCGTTTCTGTGTGATTTAATATTTTTATTATTTATTAAAACAAACTTGGTTCATTATGTGCACCAAGAGGTGCTCCACTCGAGAATTCATGGTTTTTGTGAGGGCTGGGATACTATCGCGACACCCAGATTAGGGCCAACTCTACCTTCGAGCATTCGACTTGAAGTCTGATCCACAAGGCAGTGTAGCATCGTCAGGAGCTCCGTTCTCATGGTTGAAATTGACCAAAACAGTCTCGTGCGCCATTCGATGCGTTCAATTCTGGAGTCCACGTACACCATAGTTTTGTAATCAGTTTTCCAGCTCACCCTAAGTAAACATGCATGTTCAGCAATCCGGTTTTAAGTGACAAACTTTGTCAACCTTTGATATAAGTATAAAACTTGGGCACTGTGGTAGAGCATAACTCCATTATGGATAAGATTTTATTTTTATAAATCACACAGTATTGTACAGTAATATTTACTGATGACGTTTCGAGCACAAACTATTGTTCATAATCATATCAAGTTACTCACACAACTTTTCTCCTTCATTTATATACATATGTGGAATCGATTAGATGTTGGAATAAAAATCAATATAGGATAGTGTACATTCAGAAATAATAATATGAGTCAGTCAACTTTTCACTCTTGAAAGTAGGGAATGGAACTTACCTGGTTGACAGTCTCTAATCATGTGGCCACATGAGAACATTTCGAGAGGATAACCGAAGTCTACCTAATCTTGCTTGTTCTGGGTAGTTTATTGACAGGTTATCAGAAACCATTGTTGTTTAACAACAAGGTGATTCGTTAAGTGGTTTAAGCTTTCCCAACCGAAATTTAGCATAAATTTTATATATTTAAAAGGTACTTATTACCCTTTCCTAACTTTAAATATCTTAAGCTTGTAGTGAGTTTAAAGCGAATAATTTTTTGGATCGCATTAGGCACACATTTTTTCATTCCCCTGTGTACCCAGTGGAACACAGGACTTCAAACCTGAGTTTTAAAGTTTCGGTAACGGTGGTGTTGTTTTTATGGGTTGCGGTTGCTAGCCTAACCTTCCCTCTTTTCCGGACCTACTGCTGGCTAGGTGAGGTGCAGGAGTGAGTTGGCGTGAAATCGAACCCGGATCATGTATGTGGTCGACTAGCATTCTACCATCGAACCACGGACGCAGATAACTGAAGCACATATCCGCGGAATGTTTTGACGTAGTATAGAAAATTTAACTCCACAGGTTTTCTACTTACCTAAAGATATTTATTTAAATTTTGTTCGGCTTACCGTGTCAAAGATTGTTTTTCTTTGAATGGTTGCTACGCATGGAATTAACTATGATTTTCAAGATACTTCTAAATGCAATATTGAGCGATGTATAGGGTTTTCTCTTAGGTTAGTCTGTCTGTGTATGGTTCCAGTTATTTTGCACCGACGTTAACTAATCAATGCTGATCACTATCGGTTGTTCTTAAGAGTTGAAGAATAAAAGCAATGCGTCTGAGAACGGTGAATTCAAATCAGCGATCGTGTCGTACTAAGAAGCTGGTCATCGCATTAAATTTTAACTTCCATTAATCTATAAACCTAACTTTTAAATCCATAGTCCCTAGTGGTCAGTTTATGACAACTACTTACTTTGATAAAAACGCATAGGTAGTAATGCGATTACATACAAAATGTCCAACATATTATTTTTTGGTGAAATTTACGACGCTGCTATGCAAATCATGGACAAACTTCTACTAGTACTCCATGCATCAGTTTAATATTGCTAATAGATTCTCTGTTAGTCCGAAAAGTGCGTTTCATGCGCATGCCTGTAAAAATGGCATGCATTTTCATGTAAATTTGTAAATTTATATGAAATACATTATTATTATTATTATTATTATTATTATTTACCTGGACACCTAAAGATATTGGTATCGAAAATTGGTAGTTACAGTACTATAACTAAGTTAGTGCTTTACCACTTGGCAGAATCAGTTAGCTGTGAGTTAACTGGCCTTGTCGAAGAAAAAAAGACTACTACTTTGTAAGAGACTATTAGTTTCTCTAATTACTCTGCCATGGATAACAATGTGGATGCACTGAATGGTAAACTATCACCAGTTATTCGAAAATATGCTAAGATACTAGACGGTCATAAACATATGTAAACAATATGATTGTGTTTGTGAAAAGAATAAAGCTCTATGCAACTGTTCTGACCCATGAACTACAGTTTTAAACGTCGAATTACTCATAATTCATCAAAGGATAATACACAGTCAAATAATACTTATTAGTTAAATTACCGATAACATTAAGACAGAAGATCATTCAGCCGCTGGGACCCGGTTCAATGGCTGATGAATTCCAACTTCTGCCAATTCATGATTTTAGAGTTGACCACCAGCCAATGTTATGGGCGAGTATTTGTCCTCACACCGACCTAGTGGACTTCACTGACTAGAACTCCCGGCAACATCGTCGTGTAATCAGCATCAGGTCAGTTTCCATGACTTAGTTTGTAGGCTTCGAACGCCGGTGGGTGCGTACTGATGAGTCCCAAATTAGGATAAAACGGCTGTCCAGTGGTTCTCACTAGTTCTCTGATTGACATCAATCCGTGATCAAACTTGAAAAAAATAAAATCCCTACAAACTAACTCATGAAAACCCTAGAACTCTATTAAAATATTCTTTCAGCACCTATTACATATTGTCGTGTTAGCTAAAGACTATAATTGGTCTCACTTGCTTCTTTTATAATTATTTGTTTGCAAATAGAATAAGTGTTTTGCATTTTTTCACAATCTTCAGATACTCATGGTTATTCTTAATAATTGTACAATTTAAACTGTTTAAATATTAATATCTTGTGCCAATGAAATAAACTCCACTTATTCCTTGGAGTTATGAAGCATTAATGTTTTAGTAACTGATTAAGTAATTGGAATGACGCTATGCTGGCCGATTTAAATAAATTAACGGCCAAAATTATAAGTTCTTGAATCCTGTGTAGACTAAGTGGAGCTAAGGAGAAGTAAACAAGTGAAGATAACGTAGAATTTAGACCCGAATCAGGGTGTATGGATCATATCTTCACTCTTCGACAGATTATGGGTAGTAGACATACATACCGGTTTCCAACGCCTGCCATACTTTTTAACATGAAACTGGCATTTAACTTCATCGATCGATAGGTGCTTTGGGAATGTCTTTCTGAGAAGGGAATGCTCAGAAAGTATGTCACACTATGGTGAGGGCTGGCTGCAAGCCGAAATTGTAGACAGCTTAACCTTGAAGAGCTCACCAACCAATCACAGCAGAGCTAACGTGTGCAAACAGGATTCGCAGGCATATGGCTTGACTTCCTGAGAAATAGTCACAAGCAGTACAGAATAACCTTTAGCGAGAAAACAACCAATCAGAAGACGTTGATTCCCCGCTGACAACAATGTACATAAAAATCTATAAATATCTCTTGATTTTCTCAATAAACGATTGGTTGCCTGGCGCTTGCCTTCTGTCGTTACAATACTAGTCAGGAAACTGTATTCGGCCCCACACAGCCATGTTAGAACTTATGGAGAGTTGTTATCCGAAGTGATGACAACCAGTAATGTTCGTCACTGATGCTTAATGTCTCCATTTTCAGAAAAATCATCATAGATATGTCAATGGATGTGACTTTAATCGCCTCTAGGGCCTTAGGGCCTGACTTTTTAACAAGGGTAAGTTGTTAGTTTAAAGTATACAGATGAAGACAATAAAATGCATAGTTTTCTGAAAACCATGAGCAGAAACCTTCGTACGTTTGGCATGGTACTCGCCCCTGTCGAATTTAAAGTGATCCTACAGTACCAGTCTGCACCAACTCCCAGTTTAAAGGTAGAGAGTGTAGTGGTTGAACATGTTAACCATTTCACCTATTTAGGAAGTTGCATCAGCCCTAGTGTATTTATTGTTGACGAAATCTCAGCACAGATAGAAAAAGGTCTTGTGGCATCTGCTAAATTACATCGCCTATGACGTAGACGTAATATCCGGCTAAGATGTAAATTTCCTCGCCAAGCAGTGTTAGCTGACATACGATTATGAAGGAAAAGAGTTAAAAGTCTTCAAACCAAATCAATAGACCCCAACGCATGAAGTTTTGACTATCGGTTTGAGGTATGTAGGGAGGTTTAGACGAGGTCTTCCACGCTCTGAGAACGAACAACTAGAACTTATTGTCGACATAACTCAGAGTCGTTCTCAGTGCAACAGATTCATTCACTTTTTCTGCTCTTTTAGATCTATTAAATTCTCATTGTTCTTCGTGTAATCATCCTTTTTTCCTCATATTTCTGTTTATTGTAGTTCCCTGGTATTTCCTTTTCCCCACCTTAATGTGCGTTTTCTTGAAATGTGGAAACTTGAATTGCTGCAGTGTTGTGCAAAAAACAACTTTGAGAATTCATTTCTTTTCAGCTGATCTGTAGGCTGAAAGTCATACAATACCGTCTGGAAGTGGTGTAAGTCTATGAGATGTGGTTCGTTAACTTGAACAGCCAATAGGTTCTAGGTTAGAATCTTGAATAAGTAACTAGACAGTATCATCAGGCCACACGCAAGTAACTATGGTTTCGCTAGATAGTAGATAGGGACAGTGGAAATCTCGTTAATCCGCTCATGCGCGTCACTAATTAGATGACGAGGCATTTGGCTACAGCTTGTTTACCCACGGAAATCTGGTCTCACTGCCGATGCAAACAACATCAGGATTGCAAGGTAGATTTTGCGTACGTAAGCCACTCCAGAGACTGAAACAGTTCCAGAACAACTCCCTGAGACGCTGCTTCTCACGTCCGAAGACAATCTTGGTGCCACTGTGTCGAGTGAGGGGCTAGGAACATCTAACCAAGGACCCTTGCTCACTGGAGATGGCCTATCCCACCTCATGAAACCGAGATCCTGACCTCCAGTCCACTTACCCACTGCATGAGAAACCGCTTCAGAATAGCATTCATACCGAATGCTGTGGCTTTCATAAAGTGTAGGGGGGGTTCTTTGACTATTCAACTTCAGTAATGAATACATAGCAGTATAGCACAGGAGAGTCAATAAACAGGATATGCTATTGAAAAGAAAAATGAGTATTTTAAGGTATACTGGTGATTTTTTTGCGAAAAATCACGTTAACTAAGTATTACTGGTTTGGCATGCCTCGTAAATAAATTGTTTCCATAGTTGATGTATTATAAGTGGTGTTAAATAAGTCGCGTAGTTGACAATATACCAATATTTAAATGATAGCAACCAAGAACCTACCCGCCCGACAAATATGTGAAAGGAAATGGCGATGAATCGGACATAGGATGAGGAGACTGTTGATTGACTCCACCTGCCAGACCGTTGAGTGAAACCCGAAGACAAGGTGATCATGTTAGCAGGAAGTGAAAGCTTATTGGCAATCGTGGAGACAGTGAAAAATGACTGCACAGAACAGAGTCAAATGGTAGTGTATTACTGAAGCCCTGCTCACCGTACCTGCCAATTGTCTTTATTTTCATTATGATTTATTCAGTATTTTGTTAAAACCTCAGAGTTATTATTTAAAAATTTTTCTTTTTCTTTTAGTAGTACTCAGGTTCTTTCTTCTGCATCGTCTCCTCTTCATCAGAACTTCTCAAAATACACTAACATCATTAGACATAAATGTTATTATCACATCTAAATAATATCTGTTTAAGACGTCCTAGTAATGCAAACTTTAGACAAGGCATGTTATCTTTACAACGTACAAAGAATTACTGCATCGCTTTAAATCCTCAATGGTTAGAGTTAGCTAAAAAAGAATTAAAAGGCAAAGATCCAGAATGTCTAGTTCATAAAAACTATGAGGTAAGCATATCCTATTTCATAATCAATTTAGGGTATTAACTACAAACCAATTTATACAACTGAAGATATTGTTGATATAAATACAGAAGTACCTGGAAGTTACCCTTATACACGTGGTCCCTATGCTACCATGTATACACAAAAACCTTGGACTATTAGACAGGTAGGAGGATGTTTTTTGTAATGTCATAATTTTATCTATCATCTTAACTAGTATGCAGGATTTTCAACTGTTGAAGAAAGCAATAAATTCTATAAGGACAATATTAAAGCAGGTGTTCAAGGATTGAGTGTAGCCTTTGATTTAGCTACGCATAGAGGTACGTATCATACATAACTATTTTTTTAAGCAAAAATAATCTTTTTCTCTTTTCAGGTTATGATTCAGATAATCCTCGAGTACATGGAGATGTTGGTATGGCTGGTGTAGCCATAGATTCGGTTGATGATATGGCAAGATTATTTGATGGTATCCCATTGAATAAGATTAGTACATCAATGACTATGAATGGGGCTGTTTTACCGATTTTGGCTTTCTTTATTGTCGCTGCAGAAGAACAGGTTAGTCAATGTTATCTTGATGCATGTGAATCAGAGTTTAATAATTAGTTTGTAGGGATTCTATTTGTTTCAGTTTAGACCACCAATTGATATCAATTAGAGAACCATTGAAAACCGGCACTGGAGTACTGGATAGCTGTTTCATCCTAGTTAGAGACTCATCGATAGTACGCATCCACTGTGTTCCGAACCCAGGTTGTCTAGCTGATACCAATCCGTGGTCTAACCTGAAATGAAGTGAATACCTACAAACTAATTCTTGGAAATTAATCTGAAGCTCGCTGGTGACTCGCTACAGGATGAAGTTGCCTGGAGTTCTAGTGAGAACTAGTGACTAGTAGGGTCCACTCAGCCAGGAGTGAGGACAAATGCTCACCGATGAAGTTGGTTAGTGCCAGCCACGCTACAGTTAGGAACTGGTAGAAGTTAGAATTCGTAGGCCATTGAATCGGGTCCCAACGGCTGAATGGTATGCGAGCTTGCATTGTAATCAGAAGGTCCTGACGACGAAATCTTTAATCTGTGGACACCTTCTAGAGTCAGGTGATTCAGCTCCACCTGATTTATCCTTTTAAGTTAACCACAGGATCAAATCCTACCACTTCAAAATCTTACGTTTTCTCTACTAATGTATAGTCGAAGCTCCGGCTAAACATGGACAGAAACCTAAATTATGTGTTCGAAAACGTTTTGTTGAACCCCTTTCTTTACCTTGGCCATAGTAATGTTCCTTTATTTTATTCTATTTTACCACTTGAATTCATTCCACTTCACTTCACTTTCGCCGTCTTTATTGTTATCATCATCTTATTCTTAATTTTTTAGACAACACTTGACCTACAATTTAAAAATCTCTGCTGCCGTGTCACAGGGCAGAAGTGATAAGTACACTACTGAGACACACCAGGCCGCGTGTGACCGGCCTCAAGCAGATGTCCCCTGGACTCTGCGGTCACGCAACACTAACCTTTCTTCCATTTCAGGTACCCGAAGACGAAACTCAGGCGTGAGGCCAGCAACCCCACCCTGTAAACAAACCTGCTACAGAAACTTCACCATGAGCAATCTCCTTGCGACAAAAGAAAAAGTCTGTGTGGGGACATGGAATGTCCGCACCATGTACGAGACTGGCAAAGCTGCCCAGATCGCCAGCGAGATGAAAAGATACAGAATCCAAGTGCTGGGAATATGTGAAAGCAGATGGAATGGAAGTGGACTCACCAAACTATCAACGGGAGAGTCAGTGATCTACTCCGGTCACCCAGAAGATAACCACACGCACACCGAGGGCGTGGCTATCATGATGTCACCAACGGCAACGAAAGCCCTGATGCAATGGGAAGCGATCTCGTCCAGGATAATGACCGCCAGATTCAACTCCAAAGGAAGAAAAGTGTCAATAATCCAATGTTATGCACCCACCAACAACGCAGACCTCGAAGCGAAAGAAGAATTTTACAGACAACTACAGGCAGCAATAGACAATACTCCAGCTGGCGACATTAAAATACTAATGCGAGATATGAACGCCAAACTGGGACCAGACAATACAGGAAGAGAACTCATCATGGGTAGAGAAGCTCTTGGAGAAATGAATGAAAACGGAGAACTCTTCGCCGACTTCTGCGCCTTCAACGAACTAGTGATTGGTGGCAGTGTTTACAAGCACAGAGATATCCACAAGGCTACATGGGTGTCACCAGACGGGCGAACCAAAAACCAAATTGACTTCATCACAATATCGAGGAAGTGGAGACGCAGCCTACTGGACACAAGAGCAAGAAGAGGAGCAGACGTTGGCTCAGACCACTACCTCGTACAAGGGACAATCCAAATCAAATTAAAAGCTTTCAGGGAAACAGGAGCTGCAGATAGACCACAAGCCAAGTTCAACACTCAAAAGCTGAAGGACCAGGATACAAAGGACATCTTCATTGCAAACATAAAGGAAAAAGCCGAGACACAAATCAATACTGGCGAAGAGGTCAGCGTCGAAAAGCACTGGAACAAATTGAAAACGGTGTGGAGTCAAACCTGCATGGAAGTCCTAGGCAGAAAAAAGAGACAGGACAAACAGTGGCTCTCTACGGACACTTGGAAACTAATAGAAGAGAGAAGGGTGGCGAAACAAAAGATTATCCAGTGCACCGACGAGCAACAGAAACAGGAGTTGAATGCAAGCTACAATGCACTGAACAAAAGAGTGAAGAAAAGTGCCAGGGAAGACAAAAGAAAATATTGTGAAACCATGGCAAACGAAGCAGAACAAGCCGCAGGCAAAGGAGACCTCGCTACACTATACCAAACAACTAGGCACCTTTCGGGCAAAAGTTCGACACAGATTAAGCCAATAAAGGACGACAATGGAAAGTCAATCACCAAAGAGGTGGAACAGAGGAAGCACTGGGCTGAACACTTCAAAAGACTTCTAAATCGACCACCACCTACAACGCGTCCAACAATACCAACAACGGAAGCAGAACTACCAATGAACATCGACCCTCCGACGAAATCCGAAGTCCTGAATGCCATCAAGATGCTAAAAGCTGGGAAAGCGCCAGGACCAGATGGAATCCCAGCAGAAGCTTTGAAAATAGACCCAGAGACAACAGCGGACTTGATGACGCCACTACTAGAGAAGGTGTGGAAAGAGAGCAAAGTACCCGAGGATTGGAAGAACGGATACTTATTCAAACTGCCAAAGAAAGGAGATTTGAGTCAATGTAAAAACTGGCGTGGAATTATGCTTCTGTCCATTCCAAGCAAGATACTATGTCGCATCATCCTGGAGAGAATTAAACAAGCCCTAGATGAAAAACTTCGTCCGGAACAGGCCGGATTCAGGAGGAACAAGTCATGCATTGACCAAATCGCCACCCTACGGATTATCATTGAACAAAGTTTGGAATGGCAGTCACCTCTCTATCTCAACTTCATCGATTTTGAGAAAGCCTTCGACAGCGTCGATCGAGAGGTGATTTGGCAACTACTTCGCTACTACGGGGTGCCGCCGACAATTATTCATCTCATCCAACAGCTGTATGACAACGCTGCATGCCAAGTAATCCACAACGGGAGGCTCACGGAATCCTTCGAAGTGAGGACGGGAGTGAGACAAGGCTGTCTACTGTCACCAATGATCTTCCTGATTGCAGTTGATTGGATAATGCGGCAGACAACGGCAACCAACGAGGGAACAGGCATAAAATGGACCGACACAAAAGCCTTGGAGGATTTGGATTTCGCCGATGATATATGTCTGATTTCCCACAAACTGGAAGATATGCAAGTGAAAAGCAACAAATTGGCAGAAGAAGCAGCAAAGATAGGACTTCAAGTGAACATAGACAAAACAGAGGTAATGAAGATTCCTGGCCAACATCAACAGCAACAACCGACAACAATCAGCATGAATGGGAGGAACCTGAAGGAAACAACTTCTTTCACCTACCTGGGAAGCATCGTCTCAACTACAGGAGGAACTGACGAGGATATCAAAGCCAGAATCGGAAAAGCAAGACAAGTTTTCATTTCTCTCAAGTCTATGTGGAGGTCAACAGCATTCAGCGTCAAAAATAAGATCCGTATTTTCAACTCCAATGTGAAGTCAGTACTACTATACGGATCAGAGACTTGGCGTGTCACAAAGAGCAGCTCAAACAAGCTACAGACCTTCATTAACAAATGCCTTCGCTCAATACTCAAGATCAAATGGCCGGAGAGGATCAGCAACAAAGATCTCTGGGAGCGAACCAACCAGGAACCGATCGTGAAACAAATAGGCAGGAAGAAATGGAGATGGATTGGACACACTCTGAGGAAACCAGCAAGTGACATCACTAGACAAGCCCTCGAGTGGAACCCGAAAGGGAAGCGACGAGTTGGTCGTCCAAGGGTGACCTGGAGGAGATCATGTGAAGAGGAATTGAAAGCGTGTGGGCAGACTTGGAGCCAGGTGAAAACTACAGCAGAAAACCGAACGCAATGGAGACGCATGGCTGAAGCCCTATGTTCCTCTAGGAATTAAAGGAAATAATAATAATACCAGTTCACTTATTTAATGATCTTTAAAAGTTTTGTAATTCATCCACTTCAACTCTACCCCCATAGTACATCACTGTAATTATCTTTATTCTTATCATATGTGCAATATTGACTGAGCAATTTCTAGTGCCACTTGATGCCTTTTCCCGTAATATAGATACGACTGTACAGCTTGAAAATGAAGTCGTTGAAAAGAGATATTTCTTCGCTGAACAAAAACCTGTGTTTTTCCTTATGAATTAATGGGTGATAATTTGTTTTTACCTTTGAAATTCATCCTGTGTATCTCTTCCTATTTGAGACTGCTCAGCTGATTGTGCCTATACTTCCGGAGATAATGTTTTTTACCGTTCACTTTGAATATATATATATATATATATATATATTGGAGTAGTTTTAACTCTTTTTGACAGTTAACTCATTTGACTGTTTTTATTTTATCAGGATAATATCGCTCATTAATCTTAGTGTTCAATCTCTTATCTTCGAGGTCATAAGTTTCTACACACTTCACAGCCTTTAACCTAGTCAGTCTAGTAGTCCGATATCTTCTCACATACTGAGTGTTATTAAAATACGAGTACATAAGCCTTTGCATGTTTTATTTAGAAATATCTTTGTTTCTCAGTAATTCACTCAACATATACTGGAAATGAAGTCTCATTGTGTTCTGTTATTTTGTATATACCTTTCTCAACTGTAAAAGCCAGAAAATTCAATTGTGCTTAGGATTCTTTATCAGTTTGTCTCCAGCAGAAGACTCCAAAAGATTTGGACTTTTTAGAGGATTTATGTGTAACCTCACACAAACTCGAAGATATACAAGCGGAACCAATAAGTTGGGCAGAAGTGGCAGCAAAACACAGCAGTTCAAGTGAACACAGAGAAAATAGTGATGAGGGGAAGATAGCCAACCAGCACCAACAAGTACCAATCGCCATCATAATTGAAGGAGATCACCTTTCCCCCTTATCTAGACAACACTGTTCCAACTACAGGAAACAGAGATGAGGATGTCAAGGATAGAATCGGAAAAACAAGGTAATCCTTTATTCCTCTGAAATGAATGTCGAACTCTAGGAACAAACCAACCAAGAACTGACTACCCAACCAATATGCATAAGGAAATGGAGTTTGATTGGATATACACCGAGATCCCCGAGTGACATCGCGCGCGAGGCAGATTCTCAACTGGGACCCGAACAGGAAACGATGGGTTGCGTGTCCAAGGGTGACATGGAGTAGATCGTTTGAGGAGCGAATGAATGCTTATCGGCAACCGTGGAGCTAGCTGAAACTGACTACAGAGAATAGAGTAAAATAGGGATATGCTTCTGAAACCATATGTTTCTCTTGTAAACAAAGGGAATGATAATTTGAAAAACAGATTTCAGAACCCTATGAATTTATGAATTTTTCCTTACGGATCACATCTGCTAGTTAATTACCCCCCTCCCTCCGTAGCATAGTTATGACACAAAATCTGTAAGTGTTCATTTAATTGTCAGTTCAGGTCATTTACATAGATAGAGAAGTAGAGGCAAACCGTCAGGTTAGGGTTTTCGAGGTAATCAAACCCAACGGATAGAAGACTTTTAGTGATATGAGTCAAATTCTTCACAATATGTCACAGAACTATCTGTTTTGTATTATCACCGAAGTTTGGTACACCTTCAGTAATCTTCATCTGTCTTAGTCATGCTTGTTAATTGCAGTAGCATGTTTCTTGTTTTATGTATGCTTTTTTGAATTGTAAAAACGTGAAGAAAATTCATTTTGCTCAGAATTCTTCGTTGGTTTGTACGTTTGTATATATAATAGAATCTAATCAGCCGCCGACTCCAAGTACTTAGCATGACATGACATAAACTAGCCTGATGTGTAACTCTCGTGTATCCTAGGTTCAGTGATAGAATTTTTGCCACTTACGCATGTTGTTCAGGGTTCGATTCCCGACTGACATCAACACTACTGAATCTTCAAAACCTCAAAGTTGAAACCCTACTGTTCCTTTAGGAATTCGAGGGATGAATCTCAGTAGTAGACAAAACATAAATTCTTACATTGATGTACATCAGTTCAGTTTATCACACTTTAAAACAACAAACATGGAATGAATGATACAAATAATGAACGTAAGTGTGAAACAAGGGAGAAAAATAATTTTTTTAAAGTTATAGAGGAATTTTGGCTGCAGTAAAGTATAGTGCACCCAAATGAAAGACTCACCGAATGACGTTGGACAAACAATCAGAAGAGCCGTATATTAAAAAATGTTATTTGAGTAGAAAATTTTGATTGGAAATAAATTAAGCAATGCAAAATAATTATACACTATGGCGATCGGTGGCTAAGCGGTAGAATTTATTATTTTATTTTTTTATTTTGATTGTAGCTTGAAACCACACCGTATTTTTGGTACAAGTATGGAATTTTCAGCATGTGATAACGGTAGCCCAAATTTTGCAGGCCGGCTATTGATATCAGGTGTGCGTCGGCAGGGGATCGAACCCCGGACCATGTGCATGGTCGGCGAGAGTCCTAACCGCTGTGCCACCGACGCACAAACCATGCATTCGGCCTGAGGTTCGATCCCCGGCCGACGCACTCCTTTACCTCAGTAAGCCGGTAATAAGAACGGTAAAGAGGGAAGGTTTGGCATGAGGCTACCAACTGCATCCCGTAAAGATAAACACCCCTGCTACCGAAACTTCAAGCCTCTAGCTTGAAGCCCTATGATCCACGGGGAACGTAAAGGAATTAAATTTTCAAAAATGGCGATCTCTTTTATATTTTAGACATGTCCTCCAGTTCGCTATTAGTGTTCTTACTATGTTGGTTCAAACCAATTACTGTATATGAATTCATTGAGATGACTGATTGTATATCACGTCATTTCCTGACCCATTTTCCTCTCGAATCCTGTTTCTCAAATGTTCCCAGAATCCTTCAGTGTCACTAGTGTGCTTGCCGTCCAAGGGATCAACAAAATCAGGAGAATGACTCACAGTATTGCCAGTATAGCAGGATGAAGATAACCGTCTGTAACCACTCCATTCGTCTTTGTGAATAATAGTTGTTTCGGGTATCAAAAGATGTTGGATGACTAGTATTAGCACACTTGTACGACGGTCAGGGATTCGCTGCATAGATCCTTTTCATAGAGTTGTATTATATAGTCGTAGTGCCCACGTTTGATTTGTTCAAAGTCATTTGGTTGGTCGTTTGCTCGAGTCCCTTTACTTTAGGTTAACGGGAATTTTTTGAAGTTTTGGGTTTGATTAAGGGAATGAATAAATCTATGCTATTGTGATTGATTTCGAGCCATGTGAACGGAATCCTGAAAACTCCGATCAGGAGATCTAACGCATAAGTTATGAGTTCGATCTCTGGAAAGGTTGAATGCTGCTAAAGTATCCCAAAAAAGGACGAAGCTACTATCCAGTAGACCATGGCTGTATGGACTAGAGGAGACATATTATCAGTGATCAGTGTTTGCGTGATCTGTAAATTAGGCACCTGACTCTAACGTAGATTAAGCGCTATGTCATTGCATTTTTATTGGTGCATGTCGGTGAATCAGAACATAGCTGTTTTTCGTATATCAAATAAGTCATTTGTTGGTCATGAGAAATATATTACTTTTTCCCATGGAGCAATAGATCTTTGTCTTCTTAGTCGGCCTTCGGTATCTTCATCATTTTAGTAACAGTATTCTGGTGATCGGTCTTATATTGTTGTGTATTTTTGAGGTAACGGTTTGTAGGACGAGAAGACAAACCTATATCTGATATTATCACAGTTATGATTATGGTTCCTAATGGTCCCCAAACAAGAAATGTACATTCTCCTGTGCCATTCTGTTCGGCTTATTATCATTATTACAATTTCCTTGAGTTCCGAGTAGAACGTGGGGCTTCAACACCAGTCGCATTTCCACTTCACTCTGTCCTCTGCAGTCATTTTTAGCTGGCTTTACAATTGCTTATAGGCTGTCATCTCCACCTCACACTATATCCTCCAAATCACCCGGTGACCCACGTCTCCTATTTTGCTTCCACTTGAGGGTCTGACTGGAATGTGGTGTCATTCAATGGTTTCCTCAGCGTGTGTGCTCTCTGTCCCCATTTTCTTCTTCATAATTGTTGGGCTTATGGATTCTTGGTTGGTTTATTCCCAAAGTTCATTGTCGCTGATCTTTTCCAGTCGGTCATCTGATCTTCAGCATGTGAAGCCAGCGAAGGCAGCTATTGATAAAGGTCTGTTTTGCTTGATTAAACATAATTATGTACATACCAACACAGTTCATATGATTGAGGCTTTTTTTAATCCAAGTATTTTATCAAAATACTAATTATTGTAAAGTGAAAGCAGCTCTTTTTCTTTTCTTTTCTCTGTTTTATAGGGTGCAAAACAAAATGAACTGGCAGGTACTATTCAAAATGATATATTAAAAGAATTCATGGTTCGTAACACTTATATATTTCCACCAAAACCTTCAATGCGAATTATCAGTGATATCTTTGCGTATACAGCAAATGTGAGTCAATAAATACTTTTTGCACGAAATATACCCATTGGTTTTTTAAAAGAGGGTGTATATTTTTTCTTTTCAATGACTTCACTTTTATACTGTTTATTATTTTTTATGTTATTCCTGTAGCGATGGAGTTTATTTTTTTACGGCTTGGGGTCAAAAGTCTCACCGAATTCAACCATCCCTATTTATCAGGCTTACTACCACACCGACTGTGCGAGGTTAAGGAGTGCGTCGACCGCAGGTCGAGCCCTTGGACCACGTGTATGGTTGACGAGTATATCGCCACCGAACCATACTGTGCTATCGTATTTATATTACGGAAAACAAAGCAATAAGGGGGATTAAAAATGGTTCAGTCCAAATGTACATATGATAAAAATAAGGATAATTAACATGATGTTCAAGGGGGGGGGGGTGGTTGGTGGGAAGCAGAGTTGAAGTGAATGAATTACAACATTTTGAAAAGATTAATAATTAAGTGAATTGATATTAAGATCTTAAAAGTGGATCCAATGGTGTCAAAAATTGTGATTTTGATGATGATAACAATAATGCTGGTGAAGATAAAGTGAAGTGGAATTAATTGAATTGAAGAATTCAGTTTAACAAAACGTTTTTGAATACATACATAGTCGAAGTTTTTGTCCATGTAGAAGAAAAGGCTAACTTTTACAGTGGCTGAATTTAGCTCTGTGGATAATGTTTAAAGGATAAGTCGCGTGTGGCTGAATGACCTGACTCCAGGTATTCACAGACAGAAGACTTTATCATCCTATGTTCATGCCTTTTATCAACCACTGTATTTACCAATTTGAAAGTACTTGTGGACACACATTCGTAGGGAGGACTCGTCGATCTCTGCAAGTAAGGGCTTCAGAGCATATTCCTAAATGGCTCCAGAAGCAAATAGAATCCTCAGAACCCATTAATGGTGAGAACAGGAGACCTACTTTCTCTGTTGCAAAACATATTATAGAGATAGGACATAAAATTGACGTTTACACATCTTTTAAACCTATCTATGGAATGTGTTTGGGGCGTATCCTAAAGTTTGTGGAAGCCCTAGCAATTAGAAAGTTTAAACCACCTTTATGCATTCAAAGCAACAATTCGTCATAACACTAAACCTTCCTTGGTAAACTTTGTTTTGATGCCAGCCAGGGCAGGTGTACTATTACCTCTGCTATTTGGTTTAGTGATCTTCATTGTTATTTTGACTTTCAATATGTCCTTTTAACTTGACCAACGTCTATTTTCTCACCTCTTAACTCTTTATTAAATGCATATATATTCCTATGACAGGTCCGTGTGTGATCAGATTGTTCGAAGTGTGTTGCGCAAATACATTACACGATTCAGACAAATTACGTCGTCTTATTGCTTTGCCTAAATTCATAAAGGGAATTAATTGTTTTAAAGATATACGGATCGAATTATGTGATGTGTTTGATAACATAAATGACAGTCAAGACAGCAGACAGTTATGTAGTGGTATATTTACTGCTGATTGACATAAGTAGCTGAACACCATTCACATCAAACAGTTGTGTTTGCTGGCGAAATCGAAATGATCTGATATTATCATATGGATATTTTAGATTTCCATAGGAAACTGTAGCGAATTTAATTCTATGTACTAACGGTTCTACCTACTAGCTAACCAGAATTCGGGTGGTTAGAAGTGATTAGGCTCTCTGAGTTGAGTCGAAACCCCGGTAACACCGTTGTTGAGCTTGGGTACAAATGAGATCAATGACCGTCCGGTGTTTTTTATATCACTGGGACCTGGCTAGCATGCACTGTTGCTCAAGTCGAATACTTCAGCTACTTATTTCAGTTAGTAGCATATACCGTCATGTGTGACTCATTTCCATTACTGCTAAACCAGCAACTTCACGACAAGAAATTTAGGTTGAATTACAAGAGGCTAAATTATGCACAAGAACCTTATGAGAATACTGTTAAAACAAATTCTGACGTTTATTTTAATGAAGTAGAACTAAGCTACTAGTGTTGGTTTGCATGAGTTCGACTGATTTCAGGATGGAGTGTGTGGAGTTCTAATTAGAGATCGTGACCAGTAGGATTCACCAACTCAGATGTGGGAATAAATCTTTACCGATAATGGTGGCTAGATCAACGAGCTCACCCCGTAACCTGAAGGTACGAGGTTTGATTAGCGGTGGAAGTCGTCGATGCGTGCTATCTAAGAGTTTCAAACTAGGATACAACAGTTCTCTGTAACCGATGTCAGTTCACACTCTAACTTGAAATAAGCTGTCGGAGGTTTGTATAATAACGGATTACCAGGAAAAGGTATATACACAGCCACAGTAGGAGTAAGAGTGACCGATACAAGCACAATAAATGATCTAGCGAAATCATAAAGTCCAACCTCAAACCAAATATCCTTCATATATAGAATTTTCATCTTTTTATTAGAAAATCTATCTGTCTAAACCAAAACCTTTTGTTTTTATTGAATTTATTCAAAAATAGCTTCTTTTTGTGTTGTTTTTTTATTTTGACTACTTTTGTGTAGAATATGCCTAAATTTAATTCAATATCTATCTCTGGTTATCATATACAAGAGGCTGGTGCAAATGCTGTCTTAGAAATGGCGTATACAATTGCTGATGGTATTGATTATTGTCGACTGGGTGTTAATCATGCTGGTTTAAATATTGATGCATTCGCTCCACGTTTGTCATTTTTTTGGGGTATTGGAATGAATTTCTATATGGTTAGTGTGTGCATAGTCTTTTGTGCGTGTTTTATTTACTTCTTCCGTGATTTTCTTTTTCCATTTTATTTTTTCCTATGAGAGAGGATGTTTAATTAAAATATATTTATGCGCTGGTAGTTAATCGATAAGTAACCCTATGTAGGAGATCTTGAATTTTGTGCTGGTTGGTAAGTTTCACGTAAAAGAAAAAAAAGTTTATTTATTTTGATTTATTCAATTTTCAATAAGATTAAAAGGTATGATTGTTAGACATAGGAGAAGATAGCCTGACACAATCACCATTTGAAGTAATTAATACTCATATGTGACCATAAATTTTCCACATAACAAGATGTCAATATGCATCAGCTGAATTTGTTGGGTGGTGTTCTACGACAGATTAATAATTGAATAATGACTGAATGAGTTTTTTAACATAGAACTGTGTACAGAAATGCAGTAGCATTTCAAGCTGCTACATTCTGTATAACACACAAAGGTAGAGAAGAAAGAAATTCGAAGGAATTATGGTAAGCATTTAGCAAATCTAGGAGATTACAAATAGTGAATGTATTTGCACTATTGACAACGATTTTGAGATGAAGGTGATCGCTGAACAAGAAAGCCTTGTTTGCTTACGGAAGTTTGCGGGTAGTTACTAATTCCCAGTTGCCTACACTGTAGAAGTAGATTTCTTCTCTGAGTACATAACATTAACGTTGCATGAGGTCTCAGCCCAGGGAACAACTGCTTGAGGCCGTTGACACAGCCTGTTTGAAGTATTTTTCGGATCTGTGTCTGCATCGAGATCTTAACATCGGCTGCTGACCGCCTCAAATAAATAAGTTATTCTACTGTCTGTGGCCTAACTCTTTCGCTTTTTCGTCGGAATTCTGATGTATATTTTGAATTACTAAATTATTTCGTTCTCTTTCTCTCTCTGTCTGTCTGTCCTTCCCTTCTTTTTGTTTTCCGTTTTTGTAAGCTAAAAATTATTATTATTGTTATTATTGCAGGAGATAGCTAAAATGCGTGCTGCACGTCGAGTTTGGGCAAAATTGATTAAAGAAAAATTCCAGCCTAAATCACCGAAATCTTTATTGCTTCGTGCACATTGTCAGACTTCAGGTTGGTCGTTAACAGAACAAGTAAGTTACTGTCTGTTTACTATCAACGTCGTTGTTGTTGTTTTATTGCAGAAAAGATGCCATTTGGTTCATTGGCTAAAATACTCAACTTTCACAACCAATAGATTTCATGTTCGAGTTCTGCTCCACCTACTTCAGACTGGCTAAGTAGCCTTCACACGCGTTCACTGTGGCGTGTATTACTTAGAAGAATAAAGTAGTAGATGTATGTGACTTCTTTGAGTCAATCAAACCTGCCTAGGTATAGTCAACTGGCTGACTGAAACTGTTATCATTATTACTCCCTTGGGTTACAAGTGGAACATAGGACTTCAATAACACATCTCCACTTTCTTCCATTCTCTCCTGTCCTCTTGAACTAAGTCCACGATTGCCCATAATCGCTCATCTCCTCCACCTACCTGCGCTATCTCCTCCATGTCATCCTCACACTGTCAACCCACTCCTTGCTTCCCTATTTTTTCCACTTGAGGAATGACCCGACGATTGCGCGATGTCATTTGATGGCCTCCTCAATGTATGCCCGATCCACCTCCATTTTCTCCTACGCACTTGTTGAACGATCGGCTCTTGGTCGGTTTGTTCCCATAGTTTCTTGTTGCTTATTCTTTCTGGCCATTTGATCTTAAGTTTGGAGCCAGGGAATGCAGCTGATGATCAAAGTCTGCAGTAGCCTGTTGGAAATGATTTTCGTGACACACAATACAAGTAGAGAGGTGCAGATTGGTTAGTTAGGGATCTTTGAGATGCTAGAAACCAATAGTTGGAAACTGATGGTGACATTGCTCAAAATCATTGTCACTGACTGTAATACATTCACTCTTTATGGTCTCCCAGATTCTGAAAATTTTCATTATTTCCTAATAAATATTTCTCAGCATATTTTTGTCTCTACGTTTTATGTGTGGTTTTATAAAATGTGGCGACTTGAACTGCATCACCCTTGTGCAAAATTCTACTTAGAAATTCACTCTAGTAGTCTGTTTACTTTGGCGTGTTGGTGAACTTCGGTTCGTCTAATAAACGAACATAATGAGTGGTAATCAGTTATAATCACAAACTAAATATGCAAGATTATATGGTCTGTCGTAAATAATTAGCAATCATTGCTGCATACAAAGTCTCAATGAAAACCCCGAGATTTTCTAGTCTGTCCAATTGATGAGCATCTACTTTGTACGAAACACATCTGTCTTGAATTCCATCCATTACTAGTTAATCTATAAATCAAGGTTATAAATTGTTTTGATATTTTTTTCATAATATCCTGATCACTGGAAAAGTCTGAAGGTTTAAATATATTTGGACGTGTCTTTTTACTGGTTTGTTTTTTATTCGAACACTTCTGTGTGTATGTGTGTGTGCGTTTTTGTACCAAAAGGAGGAGACGCACACTTAAACAAAAGTCCAAGACCGTTTTTCTATTCAGTAAACATAAAGATTGAATCCAAATATACAAGTGATGTTTATCGATTGTTTATTCAGTTGAAAATCCAGAGGAAGCTACGTGTAGGGATATACACAATAAACTAACTGATCAACATTTCACGAGCAGGGACGTATTTTTGATACAAAAGTATTGCTTTCAGGATTTCATCATGAACTGATATCGTGACCAGTAGGGTAAAGCAGGTCGGGGGTGAGGACAAATACTCGCCAATGACTGATAACTGTATTATCAATATCATGCTGTTCTGTAGTTTTACATTTTAATCTCTGTTCCACAATTTATTATTATTACTGTATTATCTAATCGCTATGTGACAATGGTTATGCACTCCTCTATGATCTGAAGTTGGTGTATTGGCCTACCCATGACTTCTTCAGGAAAATATTCCCCTTAATACTCCTATCCTGTCTTCTTAGCAGGATACAGACAAATGACAAGGTATTGTCTTTCTCCTTTCTATATGTGAACTCAGTTTGTGGATGAGCCATAATGAGAAGAGCCTCAGCATCGATTTTATCATTACGCAAGATCAAAGTATCGTCCACATATCTACAACACAATACGAGTTCGTTGATTACGTTTTTGAGTGAACGATTCTCTGATTTTTCAATAAACTTACCGGCTAAGAGAGGAGCCCATCGCTACGCCCTCCACTTGACGGTAAAATTCGTTGTTAAACTGCACATTCATCGTATAACGGAATAACAGTTCCCGTAGTATTTTCAGGTGATGTACCCACATCCATATCATTTTCTATAAGAGATTCACAGATGAAGAGTCGATGGTCTCTAATTAATGGAAGTTAGTGAACAGGAAGGTGAAGCCATAGAGATTACTGTTTCATCATTGATATTATTTCTTACTTCCTCTATAAATTTGAAAGTGTCCTTCATACTATACTTATTCACTTTTAGCTGCAGTGGTGTAAGTATGTCTCCTAGGCATCGTGGTATTTCATAATTTGATGAGTTAGACATATCTAATATCGTATTATGGACACTTTAGGTTCATGAATTTTAGGTAGCCCATACGTTCCAAATATATTTGTTCCTAAAGTCCTTAGATATTCGAGAATCTGAGGAGACATTATATGACTGGATAGCAACGCTTTCAGTATCCTGGAAAATTTTTCTCTGCTTTTTCTGTATCATCTTTGCCGTTAGGTTTCACAGTCTATCATTACTACTATATTATCTAATCGCTGTGTGACAATAGTTATTTTCCCCTCTACACCTACCTATACACTCACCATTACCTAGATTGCATAAATACTTGAATGAATCTATCCTTGTTATTATTATGATGATGATCACCTCGATTGTTATCCGTTAATTCACATCCCTGAACTCTGATCCTTGATATTTTGTTAACCACATTCATCATTTAAATGCCTGTGACTAATATTTCATCATTATGTAAATGTAAAGCCTGATGAAAATCTACCGAAAATACGTATCTGCTTAAATAAATCCTTTTCTATAACCATAAATAGTAATGAAGAAAGTAAACATAAATGCACTAAACTATATATTTCTGATTGATTGATTGATATGAGTAGTGGTATACAGCTTATATCGACTGCTATCGTTTATGGTATCAAGCAGATCACACATTGTAATCTGAATAATTTCGGTTTTCAAAAGGCAGCTGTGGTAGAATCTCACATCAGACTGGGTAAATGGCAAATCAGTGAATTTTCGATACTACTATTTTGCTTTGTGGTGTTACCAATTCGCTCAAATAGCTAGTCAGAAACGTTATTACTATACCTTTGTCTCACACCTCTGTTTGCTGTCCTTATTATGCATTTCTCCTAATATCTTCTCTTGCTTTGTGTGCTACATGGAGTGTGGCGACTTGAACAGCCGCACATATGTGCAAAGTTCTATGTCGAAAACAGACAGACAGCCAGAAATTGGGTGGTTTCAACTGATTCGGTTCTGTGAGATGAGTCAAACCGAATATACTGGTAGTGAGCTCGACCTCAAAGGAACTGTCCAGTGTTTAGACATCACTTCGGTCTGTCTAGCAGATACTACTGCTTTGTATGCAATTACTCATAGCAGTCACTTAATTAGTAATATCGCGTTCTATGCATTAAGAATCTGATATTTGAAAGTGCTTTTTATGCGTCATAGTTGAGGTACACCATTATGATAATGCCTGTATTCAAGTAGTAGTGATAGGGTTATCATTTGAAATAGAAGCGCAGTATTCACTGATGTGAACTTTAGGTCGTTATCTAATATGCTACTAGACTATGATAGACAATTTTTGTTCCACAGTTATTTATTTGTTGTCTGCGTTTATATATAATTTTCTGACTATATTTGCCATACTGAAGGAAAATCTCATTTAGTTTCCCCACGATGGGGGGAAATGATGACCACGAAAGCCTTGTGTGTGTGTGTGTGTGTGTGTGTGGATATTACTTCCTGGTCGCCCAGATTGTAGGAGTTGATTTCTTCTTGAAATACTTGAAACAGATGGAGCACAGGTGTTGTTTGACCGCATAGCTTAGGGAACAACTGCTTGAGGCCACAAGGAAAATCAGGATGTACAGTACCTAGTGTTAACTTTTTCTAACCTCCTTCCCTTTTATAGAAGGCAACATAGCTGGTTTGCCGTTCGTACGAGGGAAACACCTTATTACTGTCACATTCATATTTGCCAGCAGTACGACTTCGTCCTCACACCGCCGACATATTGTGAACAACTTACACTATGATAGTAACTGTTTTTTTCTGGTATGATACGATCTACAACCAGTGTAGCCCGTTGCGTAATTTCGATATACAACCAATTCAGGCTGAAAGCTATCGATCGGGAATGTCATCATGATGCCTGCTTGAATAGATGTTTAGAATTTCAGTTGTGTTACTTACTTTAGAATCCAAGATATACACTTTGCCCTGTTTTTGAGTTATTTTGAATCTCCTAATATTAATTATCATTTTTTATGGAATTCACTCCCTACTTCATACACTAGATTCTCTAGTCAAAGTGACGTATACCGTGAATTTTGACATGGGTGGTCATGTCATGGGGATGTAGTCCATTGATCCGGGTTTGAATCTCACTCCACCTTCTTCAGACTGGACAGTTGAGTAGTGTTTTTAGTCCACACACAATATGTATGACTTAGACTAGTACATAGAAACTCCGTTCTAGGCAACTGAGTTCTAACTAACCAACAAACACTGTCAGTTATTCTGATTACATATTAGTGTATTCCAAAGAGGCAGGACACACTGCAGCACTCATGTCTTGAGCAGAATAGAGCAGTTATTTTTATCATGTGTTTTTACTTACTGAGCAATTTTGGGTACGCTCTATGCAGGAAGTTCCCTGAACTTTTAGCGAGAGGTCGTACCCAGCAGCGTCGGCCAAGTCAGATTAGGGGACAGTTGCTTGCCTATGACATTGATTGGCGGTTGCGCTATATATTACTAATGGGCAGATGTTGGAAAACATGGGTTACTGGGTTGGGTATAAGTGACTTAATAGTCTACGAGCTCGCCTTGTAACCTCAAGGTCGTGTGCTGGAACCTCGCTGACTGCGTACTTTTGAAAAGTCCCGAAAAAGTAGGACGAAAAGGTTGTTGAGTAAGTACTCCACTGGTTCTCTAACTGATATCAGCTAATGATCAAACTTGTGACCAATCAAATCCCTGCAAACTAATGTATTTTTTTCACCTTTTTTAAACTTCTATGTAGGATCCATATAATAATATTATGCGTACTACAATTGAAGCAATGGCAGCTGTATTCGGTGGATGTCAATCGTTGCATACAAACTCATTTGATGAAGCTCTTGGCTTACCAACAAAATTCTCCGCCAGGATTGCTCGTAATACACAAATCATTATACAAGAAGAGACAGCTATCACTAAAGTCGCTGATCCATGGGCTGGCTCATTTATGATGGAAAAGCTAACTAATGAATTGGAAAAAGCAGCTTTGAAAGAAATTGAAGAGGTATATATATATCGTTATTCTATTCGTATTATTTGTTTCTACTGTTATCATTTCTTAATGTCATTAGAAGAAAGGAGGCATGCTGTTACCAGTACCTACTTTGACATCGAGATGTTCGTCATCAGGGGACACTATGGAATTGTATATCAGTACACATTCGTGTACTGGTTGCTACAACTATAGTAGGTGCAGAGAGATAGAGAGGTTTAAAGGTATGATGTGTTAGCTAAGCAGTGACTATTTAGGTGAATCAGTGAGGTCCAATTAGATGTCACATGTGTGGATGGATGTTCCACCAACGACAATGGTTGGGGTCGCGCTAAATCACGAATCGGTAGAAGTTAGAATTCATGAGCCTTTGAATCGGGTCCCAGTGGCTGAATGGTATACGAGCTTGCCTTGTAACCGGAAGGTCCTGGCTTCGAATCCCAGTGGGTGCCTACTGCCGATGATTCCCAAACTAGGATGAAACAGCTGTCCAGTACTCCCTGGTTTTCTAACTGATATCAGTCCGTGATCAACTCTTAAAAACAAAATATATAAACAAAGAAATGGTGCAGCTATGGGATCACCAATATCCCCTATCGTAGCAGATACCTTTATAGACACGTGGAAAAATATTACTCTTAATACATTTAATCCTACCGCAAAAATACGGTGAACATATATGGATGACACTTACACAGTGTTAAAAACAGAACATATCTCTAGCTTCTTGACACAAATAAACTCACTAGTAGAGGGAATAAAATTCACATTTGAATCGGAAAATAAACAAGGAGAATTAACTATGTTATACTGTAAAATTTTTACTCGTATATAAATGAAGCAAGAAAGTTGTGTGAGTAACTTGATATGATTATGAGCAGTAATAAATTGTGCTCGAAACGTCATCAGTAAATATTACTGTTTAGCACTGTGCGATTTTATCAAAATAAAGTTTTATCCATAATGGAGTTATACTCTACCATATTGTCGAAGTTTTATCCTTATATCACTATAGAAAACTACTTGTTATGATTCAGTAGTAAACGTGACCGAATCTGTTTTAAATGTACTTAGTTAGAGTAGAATAGAAGGAACTTCCCCCTCCCCCGCATCCCCTTTTTAATACTGTTGTATAAATCATTGTTGACGACACATTTTTTGGTGTTGGTGAAAAGAGATAAACACGTAGTTCAGCGAAGAGGCTCTTTTCAGCGAATTCATTTTCTTTGGCTGTACTATCACATTTATATACAGTTTTTTTCACGCGTCGAATGACCAATATACCTGGCTGCACAGGAATAGGGGAATCGATATATATATATATATATACATAGAAGCTACCAAATGCGAGATCTTCTGCTTCAGTCTTCTACAGACCAGTAGACGACTGGTGAACAATACGGCTGCGAAAAGTGTTCTCAAAGATGATGAAATTCTTCTCTTAAGGTCATTGCAGGTTAAGTCTCCTTTAAACTCCAGGTTCATGTAAAGCTTCCTTTTTTGGAACAAGTAGTGTATCATTCTTTTGAACTTTTGGTTTGATATTCTTGTCGATGAATCTTGGTGGGTATCCATTTTGGGTAAAGGTTTCTTTCAGGAGATCTAGTTCTTCTTCTAGACTGTCTGGGCCACAGGTACGTCAGATCCGAGTGGTAAGGGATTTAATTAGATTTCGTTTTTGTTCATCAGGCACCCAACTGCAGAAACCTATCAGTTGACCGTCCCGTGTAGGTTTCCTATGGACTGACTTTCTTAAGGCTCCGTCAGGTTTCCTTGTTAGTTCCACATCGAAGGGAGAAAATTTCGATGTCATTTCTCATTTCAAGAGTGAATTTTATTGCTAAATGGCAGTTGTTAAATACCCGTGATAACTGCTTGATTATCATCACAAATGATGAAAATTTCATCCAACTACCTTGTGTACTGTTGAAAATTATCAGTAGTCGAGTTTAGTGGACCGTTCTCAGGGTTAGCCATGAAACAGTCTACTAGTAATAGATCCAGAAGAGATCCCATTGCATTCCTATCCTCTTATATGTTAGTGGTGTCACTGAAAGTGAATTGTACACTAAGAGTAGCATTTCTTTCAAAATTATGTTGACGTTCCAATGTCTAGCTGGTTTCTATATATATTCTTATGTTTCTTGGTGTTCACTTACGTATTAAACTAATATTACTTCTACTACTACTACTACTAGTAGTAGTAGTAGTAGTAGAAGTATGTTTAAGCTGGCATTAATTTCACTCAGATTGAATGATTTTTCATCCTTTCAGTCCTCAAATGTATTCTTCATTTTTGTCATACGTTTGCATGCATGTATATGGACCCTTTTTCTTTAGATTGAACATATGGGTGGAATGGCGAAAGCCATTGAATCTGGTATTCCAAAATTACGTATTGAAGAGTGTGCAGCTAAACGACAAGCTGCTATTGATTCTTGTCAAGGTTAGTTATATTATATGTATTTTTTGCTTACTGTTTCGTTCCGATTGGAACATAGGGCTTCAAACTGTAGTTGTAGAGTTTCATTAGTGGTGGTGTCTTTCATGTCTAATCTTCCATGTTTACTGCACTTACAGCCGGCTAAACAAGGTTTAATAGTGCATCAGCAACCGGAAATCCAATCGGGACCACTTGTGTCTCAGTTAGTGAGAATTCTACCCCTGAACTAACGACGCTGTATATTATTTTAAGCAATCATAAATTCAAGAAGGTGTGTCATTTAATTCAAGAAAAATGGCTGCAACAACTGAATTGTCCTATGCACAAATGAAGACGAGAAATTCTATCTAGTAGGCCTCTTTGATTTCAATGATTCTCTAGTTAATACCTGTTGGTGAGAAATTTTCAACTTGAATTTACCATGAAATCAGAAACTGCTCATAGCTTAGTTGTTGATACACCATGATGGTAACTCGAAAGGAAATCGTATGGATGCTGGTGTGGAGCATTCATTCAACACTATGATTAGTCTATCAAACGAAGAGTATCCATGTAGTTGCAAAATGCTATGTACTAATTGTTGCTATGGTATATAGCGTCACGCATCTATGCTTGCTTTCTTGGTTGCCATCAACGGCATCACTGCCTCGAACAGTGTAAATTGCAAATTACGAATTTCATTCAACGTATTACTAGCTGATTTGTGTTTCAACAAAATAATGATCCAAATAGCTAGCCAGAATTCGGGTGGTGTGAACTGATTCGGTTCTATGAGCTGGTCCAAGTGACTATACCGCTGATGAGCTTGATCAGCACGGCCGTCGGATGTTTAGATCACTTCTATTTTGGGTAGCAAGCACTACTGGTTGGTGTGATTGGTATCCAACTACTCACTGATATCAACTAATAAGCAGTAGTATATAGTATCATGCATTTGTGCTTGCTTTGTTGTTTGACATTTATAGTATCAATAATATCTGAATAGTCACCGTTTCCTTGGGAAAATGTGGTAAAATTTCACGTAGAACTATGTTAATTGTAAATAGCGAATTAATTTGCGAATTAGAAATTTGATCCAGCATTTGACCCACTTTAATCGTCTCAATATTATTTAACTTCTACATTAATTTGTTTATCGGATATAAATATATATATATATACCACAGAGGGAAATATTATTGTTTAATGAGTAAATTTTCCAACACTATTTGGATTCCACTGCACTCCACCTCATTTCTTCAAAATTTTATTCCTTTACGTTCTCAATGGAGCATATGGCTTCCATCTAGAGCTTTGCAGTTTCGGTAGCAGTGGGTTTTTAAAAATATTTTTACGGGGTGGGGTTGTTAATCTTACTCCCAACCCTCCCTCTTTACTGGCCTTACTGTCGGGTTAGCGGCGTTTAGGAGTGAGTTGGTCAGGGATCGGACCCTGGACCACATGCGTGGTTGGCAAGCATTCTACCTCTGAATCACCGACATGCATCCCACCTCATGTCAGTTAAAAAAAATGGCCAGTGAAATATTCAAATAATTAGGAAGAAACAGTCAATTGGTTGGAAGGCAGGCAGGCAGGAAGTAAGACCTGTGGGAGAAGCTTTGACACTCAGTAATTATCCTGATAAATTAATCAGGAAGTATACAGGCGATTATAAAAATAATGGTAAAAATGTTAGGAGAAACATAAATTTCAAACATACACAGGCAAATAACAATACCAAGGTGATGGAATTTAAAACATCAGTAGTGTTGCCATTCAAAGAGGGAAACTTTGAAATCTTATTTAGCATTCTCAAAAAAAAGGCAGGAATAGAAGCTGCTTAGAATAGATTTATATGTCGCTTGAAGGATCTTGTGAAGCTCATTCAATAAAATTATATAGTCCATCTAACACCTTGTGGTCGTTGTGAGGTCAAAATATTAGTAGGCTGAGGTCAGTTAGATCAACGTATCACAACAGCTTGGAAATATCTAGACTAATATAGTCTAATAAGATTTTTTTTAAATGTAGAAAAATGCTCAGCTGTAGCACTTTACTTACAGCCATAGACAACACGAGAGATTATTAACTGAGGCTTTATTTATCGAATCAAATGAGAATATTTGTAACAGGAATGACTCAAAACCTAACCGAGATATCTGGAAAATTCCACTATCCTTACGAAAAGTCAGAAAAAAGAATGGGAACTATATAAATCGAGTCTCGAAGTTGAGTGGTTACAATTGATATGATTATGAACAATAGATTGTATTCGGAACTCCATCTAGTGGAGAATATATATACATATATATCCAAAAACAATAAATATGGAATTACGTAATGCCACAGTGCACAAAAAATATTCAGAATAAAGTGGAGATGAATTGAACATACACCGAGGAGACCGTTGAGTGACATTATACACCAAGCCTTCTATTGGAAGCCGAATAGGAAGTGACAAATTGCGTGTGGCCCTAAGGGTGACATGAAGGTTATCACGTGAAGATAAAGTGAAAGCTTTTTGGGCAATCGGGGAGCTACCTGAGAATAACGGTAGAGAACAAAGTGAAATGGTGATAGGCTGCTGAGGCCCTGTGTTTCACTTTAAATCCAAGGGAATAATATGTATATAATATCAATCTTGGATGCATATATATTAATTCACTTTGTAGTTCTGCTTCTCATCCACCCTACATCCTCCCCCCCCAAAAAAAACCACTTTAGTTATTTTTATCATATGTTTTTACTTACCGAGCAATTATGGATATATTTAATTGCTTTTTTATATAATATATGATGCTCATTAACAACCAGCTCTATGCAGGAAGTTCCCTGAACTTCTAGTGAGAAGTCGTAACCAGAAGCGTCGGCCAAGTCAGGATAGGGGACAGTTACTTCTCTATGACATTGATTGGCGGTTGCGCCATATATTGCGAATGGGCAGATGTTGGAATTCATAGGCCATTGGATAGGATCCAAGTGCCTGAATAGTCCACGGGCTCGCCTTTTAACATTTAGGTGCTGGGTTTTGAACCTCGTTGAGTGCGTACTTCCGAAGAGTCCCGAGAAAGTAAGACGAAAAGGCTGTTGAGTGAGTACTCCCTAGTTTCCCACGGTTTATGTAAATTATGTGAATTCGTGACCGAATATGTAATATGAATGTCACTGTACAATTTAGAAAATGAAGTTGCTAAATAGACTTAGGTTTGTTCAATAAATTAGTTAGTCTGTGTTTATTTTACATTTTAACTCAGAGGTCATTGTCGGTGTGAATAAATATCGATTAGACAAAGAAGAACGTGTTGATGTTCTTGTAGTGGATAACACCAAAGTACGTGAATCACAAATTGCAAAGCTGAAAAAGGTTCGAGCTGAACGAGATCAATCGAAAGTAAGTTTTAGCGTAGTTAATATCTTCCTGTGGTTAACTTTATTTTCATTAATTTTCAGTGATATGCTGTACTTTTTTGCAACAGCTTTTTGGGTTAATATCTTATTTTGTTAAAGTATATATATCTTAGATAACTGGGTGACGATTGAAGGTTTTCTCAGTATTCGAACTAGTGGCGCTCCACTAGCTGAGTTACTAAACGTACCCGATAACCACCAGGTCATCTTCATCATTTCACTGCAGTCATTATGGATAATGTCCAGTTGTCATGTAATTGAATGTTGCCTATTTGTCCTGGCAACTATAGTTGGTCAGAGATAATCCTGACATCTCATAATGTATTGACGTGTAACCGCGTATTTAGTAATAGGCGTTATTTTAAGAAAAAAAATCGAGTAATAGACTAAATATGGATTCTCATATCTGTTGTGTGTGTAGTTATATCCTGCCAAGTTGAGTATTTGTCACTCCTATTTGATGCATGACTTCATAAGTGAGTAGCTGTCATGAATCAACAAAATCTCCTAACTAAAAGAACTAAAATGATATTTTTTTCTCCCCTCTTACAAATTTCTCAGATTTCTTTTAATCAGTATTCAATATTAATACACAACATCCATTTATTTTCAGGTTCAACTCATTAAGTTAGAAGACTCTGTTTTTTGCTGAAATTGTTATTTCAAATTTCCTGTTGATTGAATTTTACTGAAGCGAAATGCTCGGTGTCTGCCATTGCAGTTCATGACGTTCTGCACAGCTGCCCCGTCAGCATAGTCTGGGACTCTTCATCAGTATGCACCCGCCGGGGCTCGGGTCCCAGTAGCTTAATGGTCTACGAGCTAGCCTTGTAACTAGAAGGTCCTGGGTTCGAACCTCAGTGGGTGGGTGCTGATTAAAAGTCCCAAACTAGGACAAAGCAGCTGTCCAGTACTCCCAGCTAGTTTTCCAATGGTTCCCTAACTGATGTCAGCTCATAATGAAATCCTCCAACCCTTCAAATTTTTGACAAGACATCGTATTAAGTGAACCACGATAGTTAGTCAATAAACAGGTCAAAGTGTTGTATCAACCACGCTTTTATCACTTGACTTCTTTGTTAGAGTTCATCTCAGTTGTCAAGGAAATAAAATTCATCCAATGTGACTGAACCATGTCACCTAATGCTGCAGTCAGAGATGTACTACGGTATCATTCGGTCGTGAGACTAACCTCTTATATGACTATAGTGTTTACATTGACTGATCACTGTGATTTAAGCAATGTCCTCCAGCCGTTGGTGCTGGCGATAACTGAATTCCGTTAGCCAGCTTTGTAATATACAGTCACCAAGCGAGGAGACTCGTCGTTCCCGTGTAGTTTGAATTATATATTGGGGCTAGGCTGAAGGCGAATGTTTAGAATCCCTGTTGTTTAACGTAGAAAATATTAGCTAATGGTTTCCACCTTCTTTTTACATGTCACTTTCTGTTGTGTTTTTTTTGCATTTTATTTTATCATTTATTGTTCAAAAGTTTTCACTAATCGGTTTTTTTTCTCATTGGCAATGCATTTTCAATCGACAGATTGATTCAAACAGAGTGATAACTCATATGATATGGTTTGGGTGAATGACACATATTCATAATATGTAATAATCAATGTCCTGTAATCAGTGTGGTGCCTGATTACATTGGTGGTGACCGAGAGAAGCTGATAATTTATTTTCTAAATGAAACTAGACTCGAACCCTATGATCCAATTAGCGATCTCTCTTTTCTAAGCAATTCAGCTTCGATCCCTCTACTGTTAAGTGAATACATGCAATAATGAAAACAAGTATTTGAAAGGTGTACATAATCTCTTTGACAAGAAGAAAATATATGTCAGCTGTTTAGATGTCTTCTAATCTTATCCCCTTATAAATAACATTGTCGTCTGCCTTTTACACGCCACAGTTAACTTATGGTGTCATCTTTACCAAAAGTCTAATTATTATTCATCTCTTTTCGTTGATCAACTTTCACTTATGTTCTTTTGTCTACTTTAATAATTAACTATTATTATTATTGCTCCTTCAAGTTCCGAGTGAAACACAAGATCTCAACAGCCCTGATTCATTTTCTTCTCTTTTGTCTTTTTCAGCTGGCTCCATGAGTGTAAACAAACTTCCATTTCTTTCTCATCTTATCTCCTCTACATCGTTTCCCATTCGAGTTCCACTGGAGGGCTTGACCCGTGATTATATCACTTGAATATTTCCTCAATATATGTCCAGTGCATCTCTATTTCTTTTGCATATTTTTTTGGGCGATAGATTCTTGGCTACTTCGTCAACAGAGGTCCTTGTTGCTGATCCTTTCTGGTCATCGAGCGAAGGTATTGATAAAAGTCTAAAGCAGCCTGTTAAAATTGCTTCTATTGACGCGCGTTCCAAGTCTCTGAATCCTCATAGTTATGCTTAAATGTTTGTCTTTCCTCGTGTGCCTCTCTATCTCATTCTCCCTCTTTCTCTTTCTTCGTGTGTTTCTATCTTTGTACTACCTTTTGTGTGTAGTAAATCTGCCATATATTGGTGGACATGAGGTTCATTTGACTTCAGACCGCGTATTTAGGTATTATCAGTAGTCTAACACTATATATATATATATATTACTGATTGATTGAGGTGAGTAGTTGTATGTTTACCATTCATATCACCCAGTAGTGCTTGATAACAAGATCGGAATGATCCAAACACTGAACGGTCGTACCACTCGTTTGGTACCGAGCAGCTTATCATCAGTGTTGTATGACTGGTCACACTCAACTCATCTAGTCGAATCAGTTTAAATCGCCCGATTTCTGGTCAACACAAAGTTCAACAGACACGCGTCAAATAGTTGATAAGAAGATTTAAGTACAATAGGAAGTGTGAATATGTGAATTTAACATGTTCAAATACCAATAAGATAAGAAAGTAAGATGAGTGAAACGTTTCCAAAAAAATAGAATAAATCAACTGCTAGAATGTGTGATAACGTAAAGAGAAAAATGCCAAAACAGTATGGAGTAAAGAATAAAAAAAAGTTGTATGAATATATGCGAAAACTTTGATCCTGACAGCGCAGGGGATCGTACAAGTGATTTTTGTACAGGAAGTTCTGGCCTTATGTGTTACCAATGATTCCGGTGTACAAAGCAAACGTGCTCCTGTCCCTTTCAGAAGTTGTATGGCCATTATCTACCGTATGTTACAATATATACGAATTAATGGCATTCACGCTCTCCTCTTCTCAGTCAAGCTGATATGTGTTCTAAAACACGGCTTGTGATAACAAAGGTGATAATATGAAAATGGACTAATGCAAATAGCAAGTCGCGTTATTATTAAAAATGAGTTGAAATTTCTATGCGTTCAAATGGAGCAGTCAGTCCTTACTACAAATCCAGCATATTCCTTTCCTTTTGTTCATAATTGATTATTCTAACTTCATGTATAATTTACACCTCCTCCTCGTTTTCGACATTTTCTTCTACTCCAACAGAATGTGAACTGGTTGGGTACCCAGCTAACTTTTTTCTCAAACAATTATACCATAAGGATTATTGATGTATTATTTTAAAATCCAGGTTTTGTGTTATATACAGCTGACTATAACCCCTGTGGAATAAAATGTGAACTCACTTTATCCTTCCTTTCATAAAAGGCGTTCTCATTTCAGTGAACGAACTCACAACTTACAAATTAATCTACGACTTTCGCTTTACACTGTTTGAGGTGGAATTTCACCACCTCGGTTTCCTTTTTGAAAACTGAAGTTATTCAATATATAATCTGCTTGATACCGTAAATGGCAATCAAGAAAGCATGATGCTATATACTACTGGTTAACTGATTAATCGATCGATATGAGTAGTTAGCTAGATACTGCTCACATAGGGGGCAGTGTTTACATCAATTCTATCTACCTTATTCAAACTAACTTATGCAGTGATTGTAAGGCACACTTTGATTTGACACTAGGTAGTAACTGCTGTCATGCCTCTAGTCCTTCATTTGATGTAGGCTGAATTCTTTCAGTCGGGATTACAGCGTGGTCACAATGCTAGGTAGCTAGTCATCATGGCGCACTCTGCATTGTTGTTTGGTTGTTGGAAGCAATCGGAAGGAATCCTTGAACCTAGGTCTCGTGTTTTTTGGCACTCATCAGCAAGGCGTGTCTGCGGTCTTGAAGGAACTCGTGTCTCTTCTAAGACTCGAACCCGGGTCAATCAGTGCTGCAGTCACACACGTTACCACTGTAATGGATACTGCTATCGGTCACTAGGTAGTGAGTGACTAATGTTTTGGGTTTAGTCCTTTGTTTGGTACAGATCAAATTTCATCATTCAAGTATATCAGTCAAATAAATAATAGCATACTTGAAACATCTGTCTGTTTGGAGATGTTAATATGCGTCTAGTCGTTTATTTTATAAATATCATACGTATCTTTTCGCCTCTCTTTCATATATCTGTTCATTATTAGGTTGATTTATGTTTACAAGAAATTACTAATGCCTGCTCTAGTGATGATCGTAAGCAAAATCTTCTAGCTTTATGTATTGAAGCGGCTAGAGCACGTTGTACAATCGGTGAGATAACTGATGCTATGGTTAAAGTTTATGGTCGTCATAAAGCCTCTGATCATCTTGTCTCCGGTGCGTATAGAAGTCAATTTGCAGTTGAGGATGAATGGAAAAATGTGATAAATGCTATTGAGGTAAATTTTGTTTTATTTTTTCTTAATCTGCATGTCTTTGTATATTTTTGTTAATTAAGTAACCTTTATTTATACCGTGAATACTTAATGACAACAATGAAATGTTTTACAGCTATTTCGTCCTGATCCGGAAGTGATTTGACTCACTGGCCTAAACACTGGGCTGTCTGATAGAGGGTCACGGGTTCAAATTCCGCTCCACTTACCTCACTCTGGTTGACTGACCGACTGGTTTCAACGTAGAACCTTGCACTGATGTACAACAGTTCGAGTTGCCACACTCCATATAGCATACAAAGTGAGAGAAGAGAGTAAAAGGAAGTTCAAAAGAGAGATAATAAACAGAATTGTGAGGCAAAAAGAATAGTAATATGGAAGAACAATAGAATTTTATTGCGTATTATAAATCACAAAGAGTGGATGCATCTGCGTTTTCATTGAGAACGATTTTGTACCATATCACTAGTTGTCTCCAGCCATTGGTTTTTACCGTCCTGAGAATCCCAACCATGAAGTCTACACCTCCCTCCGTGGCTGGTTTAAACTAACTGTTGTGGATTGCATTGACTGATGAAGCCATGTTTTGGCTTGAAAGGTTCTATTGGGTTCTATTCCCTGCCAACTCACTCATAAACCCTCTGGTTTTCTAGGTGGTAATAGGCTTGGAAAAGAAGGAAGTTTGGACGTGCGGTTGGCAACCCCACCTTGTAAAAATCACCCCTATAGCTTTGGAAACCTCAAGGTTAAAGCCCTACGTTCTACTCTCAGTAACAGAGAAGGAAAAAGTTTGTCTTCAATTAATTAAAATGTATATGGTTAGTTAAACAATACATTGATAAAAATGAGCTCTGTACTGCAAAGGGTGTAAGTGACATCATGTTACCTAGTTCTTAATTCTGATTAGATTCAATTTTACATCAGAATTTGAGCTGGACATTAAGTTTCACCTCCTTAATGTATCACTTAAGCTAAAGACTTTAACGGATTGATACTCTTTCTTGTTCTCATCACTAACCTTACTTCATCTGAGATGATTCCTCATCGAATGGTTCACTGTGCATGACAAGCGTTCTAGTTACGTCAAACGATAGAGTTTTATAATCTTATTGATTGAATTCCCCTCTTCACGGAATACTGTACTTATAGTCTCACTATTGGTTATCCTTCCACTCCACCTGATACAAACAATCGAATGAAGATATCCATGGTCAAAACATGAAACCTTTATCCTGTGTCATTTCTTCTGGTTTCAAGTGCTTTTTATTTCAATAGATTTACTAGTTATAGTATACACTTGTGTATTTTTTCTAATCTTTCGATTATATTTATATTCAGTGCATAGCTTTTATGATCCATCTTTTGTTTTCAATACAGGAATTTTCTCGAAGTGAAGGTCGGCGACCACGTATTCTTGTCGCTAAACTTGGTCAAGATGGTCATGACCGTGGTGGTAAAGTGATTGCTACAGGATTCTCAGATTTAGGCTTTGATGTCGATGTGGGTCCGCTATTCTCCGTAGGTTTTGTTCACACTAACTGGTTGCGAATGAAACTCCATCTTTCTTTGCTTTAAATTTTGCAGGCATAGTTATTATGATTTTAGGTTCTTTACACAGTTTTGTATCTGAATAACTTGGTTAAACTAAATCAAAATGTAGATTAAAGGAATACTTTTAATGTAGAGCCAGCATCAGCTCGGGAATTATTGGAAACCAAGGAGCACTGGATAGCTGTCTCGTCCTACTTTGGGACATATGACCTCAACTGGGATTGATTCTGAGACCTTCAGGATACGAGGTCAAGTCTGTTAACCATTCAGCCACCTGCGGCAGAATCCGAAATGTTCAAGTAAATACATACACATTATAAAATATAATATTTATTGTCGTTACAATAATGGCAACTCAAAGATGTCAAAGATGTATCCAAAAAGAACACGTCCAGACGCTGTTCCTAAGGTGGGCAAACTTGGATTGATGATTCTTCTTATCACCAAGAGTGCTTCTTCCCCTTAAGCGTTTTGGGCTTTTTTTCCTTTGCTTTTTTTTTCATTACAATCATTATTATTACAATCACCTTATTATTATTCGTCATAATTTATGCCCTTCATGCAAACATTCTCTCAATACTATCGAATTTTTCGTTTATACCATCCGGACTTATTATTAGTGATATTATCTCTTTTCTCAATATAGGCCTCCACCTGTTTCATTTCACACATTCGTTATTTCATTATGAACCTCTCATTGCAGTCTTACTATCTCCTGTTTAATACAGACCACCTTGTACTAGCCACTCACCTGACACCTTTTATAACCTTGACCTGACTTGTCAATTTTCCTACCCCACACTCTACAAATCTATTATGACTAACCACCACCATTGTCTCCCATTTTACAATATTTTGCAGTCGATTTCAGCCTAGCATATTTGTCACACAAATACTACTATATATTTTGACACCCCATAACTAATCTGTTATTCTACGTTAAAAATGTATCCGCTGCATAACTGGCCATTACTGTAACGACAGTAAATATTATATTTTATAATTGTATGAACCTGAAGAGAAAGTGTTGAAAAGAATATTCTTCGTTCAGATTGACTTTTAATTCGTGATATGGGAATATTTCATATTATTGAATACACATTACTTTACGATGAATGATTGCAGTCTCACTGCCTCCCTCAACAACTCACTAAGTCACTACGTGCTTATAAATTCATATTAGATTAACTGAGGGCCTAGCTACCGAACCTAGGACCTTTAAGTTAAGAGACCAGTTCGTTGATTATTTAGTCAAACTTCAATCAATCTATTCGATGAGTGTCGATTTCCCCGTGATATGATAGATCCCATCGGCGATGTCTTTTCATTACAGCTTCAGAGTATTCATCCAGTAGCCGTCAATGAGTTGCACACTGATATTCGATTTGATTTATTGGTTTTTTAATGACTATTTGATTAGTTTCACGCATTGAAGAAGTTAGAATTCATGGGTCCCATTTAATCCAAATCCAAGAAGGTGGAGGCCTTATAAAACCGAAGGAGTATGGGGTCGTGAGTGTTTACTGCCAAGAGTTGTGAAAAGTAGGATAAAATAGCTTATCCATTATTCCATGGTTTTCAATGGCTGCCTAACTTATGTTGATTTATGACAAAATCTACATTGAAATTATTTCCAAATCCCTAGAATACCCATAATTCCGTTATTTTAATTCACTTCTGTTCATTACTTCACTAATTAAGCACTCTTAGTAAACTTGGAAATCATTTAGTTGATATTGGCTGGCTAACAGTAGAATCCAGAGTGTGTGTTTTATGCTATTTATGCCTCATCAGCTGTAGATGTCCTCGTATCCCCAGTGGATTGAAAGTGTACCTACTGAGACTTGAATCCATTGTACTAAATATGTCAAAGCATCGAAGCTTGCAAACTAGGAGTGGACATGTCAACACAGAGACCGAGTATTTAACTCCAGTTATATAAAAGAATCAAGAAGAAATTCAAATTAAATAAAACAAATAAGACATCGCAATTAGATAAAGACAAGTTTACTTATTATGCTATTTATCGTACTGTTTTAAATGTAAACTCACTTATCTCTCCTTATGCCTCTCTCTTTCTCTCTCGTATTTTAAAAAAAAATCTATTTTAAAATAGACTCCAACAGAAGCTGCTCAACAAGCTGTTGATGCTGATGTTCATGTTGTCGGTGTTAGTTCATTAGCTGCTGGTCATAAAACGTTAATTCCAGAATTGATTAAAGAATTAGCGAAACTTGGCAGACAGTAAGTTAACAAAATGGACATGGAATTATACTTAATATCTGCAATTAACCTTTCTTCTCTACTTGTAAACATATGTATATATTTTTTTGTGAGAACTGAAAGGAACGCTTGATGCTGTGGACTACTAACTCTTGACGAATTGGTTCTAACTTTTGTGCCAACAACCACCTAGCCAGTTTATGGTATGGTGATTTCACCATTGACATTATAGGTCTCAATGGCACATCAGGTTTGTGGACTTTGGTTTGACCATAAATGAATATACGTCGCTTCACCAAATCGCATATTGATTCATTACAGAAGTGCATCAACACCTTGAGATCAAATCTAGACAAATTCGATAGTCTCAGTTAGGTGTGTCGGATAAAGTTTATTAACTTCATGTAGTACTTACAATTGCAGATCGAGAATTTATACAGAAAGAAGCTCAGAAAATCCTTAGTAGTGGGGCAACTACATGAAGAATCTCCACAGTCCTCGGAAAAATACATATGCAACTTATCAGAGTGAAGCTAAATCAAGTCGAAACCGAAGCTCTGTCTCTAGGATTTAAGTACCTCGTACCAAACATTTTTATCAACAGAACTGACACAAAAACGCAGTTCATGTATTAATACAACCAACTATCAGTTTGAAACCTATAGACGAGGATTAAAATAGTTGGTTTATATCTAAAATAGTTGATATCGCAGAGAAGTATCACATTTCTCCTCCTTCATAATCAAAAATGTTTACTAAGGAGCACAGACTAGCGTTAAAAACCTGCAGAACAATGATAAGATTTTCATTTTTGAACCAGACAAGGGTTCTAGCGACGTAATAATGGACCGGCGAGACTACGTCTTCAGAATGACAACGCTTCTCAGTGATACGATGAGATTCCAAGTGGATTTTTTTTTTATTTTTATTTTTGATTTACAGCTTGATTCCACACCGTATTTTCAGTACAAGTATGAAATTTTCAGCATGGATATCGGTTGCCCAAATTCAGGCATACCATAGATATCGGGTGTGCGCCGGCAGGGGATCGAACCCCGGACCATGTGCATGGTCGGCGAGAGTCCTAACCACTGTGCCACCGACGCACACGACGCAACAACAGCCTTCGAAAACAAAGTAAACAGGCTCCTCAAGTAACTGCTTAATAAAGAAGGGCTAATCAACAACGGTACCTGTAATGACCTCAAAGCAAGGGGTTCACGCCTACGATTCATTTATGGTCAAACCAAAGTCCACAAACCTGATACTTACTTTTACTTTACTTCGGCTATCTCCTACGGGAGGATAAGCCGGCTTCATGAACATCAAAAGAGTTCATGAAGTTTCATGGGAGTTTGGTACGAGTAATGTCCCCAGAATCGCTCGGCCTTTTGTTTGAGAGTGCAGCTCTAGCTTTTACACAACCAAGTGTGACCTACAAGACAGTAGGAGTGGAGTAGGGAGTCCACTATCCATTGGCAGCCGGTGACCGGAGTTCGGTTCATACGCCTTTTTGAATGGGGCCAGACATCCAGGACATCCAACAAGCCCTTTGTCCATACGTCTTCCGGTGAGCTCCAGTGAGCCGGAGGTTTGGAATCAGGGTTTAGCCATCTCCCCTAGACTGTCATCCAATGGACAGTCAACCCGGTGAAGAGCGCCGGGCATCCGCTTTCGCCCTCTCACTTTGGTGAAAAACACCTCCACCACGTGAAGGCAGTGAGTAGGACTTCCTCAGGAGAGGCTATGTAAGACGCCCGGTCATATGGGAGCATTTCAAGAGGTGTGCGGAGGGGTGGCCAACCCGCAGCGCAAGGTACCCACCCCCGACCATCCTGAGGCTTTGGAGGCCTGATGTGCCATTGAGACCTATAATGTCAATGGTGAATTCACCATACCATAAACTGGCTAGGTGGTTGTTGGCACAAAAGCTAGAACTACTTTGCCAAGTGTTGGTATTTCACAGTATCAAGGGTTCCTTCCAATTCTGACAAGAGTTAGACCAAATGAATATATATATATATTTCTAAATATTTCTTCCGTGTTTCATTCCTTTGTGTTCCGACCTCAATTCATTGCCGCTCATAATCACATCAGTGTATTTGTATACAACTTCCTAATTTGCTTGATATAGCCTTATTCACCGCTGGTTTTTATTACAATTTTCCATATATATGGAATAGGTGTTGTAATATTTCGATTGCATGTGTTTGGTGTTGACTCAATGATTGGTCTCTCTCTCTCTTCACCTAACTATTTATAAAGTTGGCTTAACGACCCGATAGACCAAATTAAGAAAAGTAATACAGTTTACCAAATAGCATGTAGTCACCTGTGAGTTCAATTACACAGGTCAGGTTGGTACATGGTGTTCATTTAGATTATCGGAACACAGGAATTTAATAGTATGGTTAGGAAGCTAGGTGATTCACTTATGAGGTGCATTTTTGAGTGACATAAGATGGTTGGGGGCAGTCATCCTCGTAAACGACCTGGTGCAGTTGAGGGTGAGTAGACTTATCGGTCTTCTCGAAATGCTCTCTACCAGGTAATTCCAACTCACTATCTTCAAGCGATGGGAGTGTTTCTTACAAAAATGAAATAGCGAATTTGAACGTATGTTGCTTACAAAAGGAATAGTGGAAATGCAGGTCTACCTAGGGGAGCTGAAAAACTCCAATTCCAAACCTATGGCGTATATAGGCTCCAGAATCGCAACAGATCCAATGACGCATGAACCTGTTTCTGTCACCCTCAACTAAGAGAATATGGCTCCCGATGTGCTGTTCTTGTGGAGTTAATCCCTTAGGATAACCAATTGTTTCAGTGTGGGCATCTAGGCGGTATCGTAGCCCTGGCGCAAACTAAAATTTCGTGTGACGCATCTGTTGGTGCCCATAATGTACCAAGTGTTTGTTTTACTAACAATAATACTGGAGACAATCATTATGTACAGCACATATTATATCTGTTATGTATTATGAGGATAACAGTCAAACACTATAAGGAGTTTAATACCTTTCATGCCTTCCCTAATAATGTTTATCTATTTTTTGTCTTTCTCTCTTTAATTTATCCACTCAAAATAGAGATGTGGTTGTAGTTGCCGGCGGTGTCATTCCACCTCAAGATTATGATTTCTTGTATGAAAGTGGAGTTGCTTGTGTTTTTGGCCCGGGGACACGTATCCCTGAAGCTGCAATGAAAGTGTTGGCTGCAATTAAATCGAAGACAAGTAATGAAAAACGACAACACACGACGAATTAATCCCATGGATCTAATCAGTCAATCAATGATTTTTGATTCTCTTCATCTCCACTGCTTTGTTTATCAGGTTGTTTATTGGCTGTTGCATTTTTTGCCTACCTCTGTCATTTTCCCCTTTTGGAAAATTCGTATCAGGAAATTAATGTTTCCAGTTCTTAAATAAAGCGCACTTTCCTCATTTGTTGATAAAGTGCCCATTCCACTCACTCTTTCGTTGTCAAACTACTACTCTATGTATTTTCAGGGATAACTTCAGAGACTGCTTCTATGAATGTGTGTTATCTGTGAACTGTTTATTTCGTGGAAATCAACACGTCATCTTTCGCTTATTATTATTATGGTGATGATTATTATTACTTGTACAAGTGTTTTTCTTATTTCTGTTTTGAAACCATTGTTTGTTTTTCTAGTTAGTCATTCTAGTGCTTTTGTAAATGTCATGTTGCTAAAAACGGCATTTTTTGCAGGTCACAAGGACTTACTAAACAATCAGTCAATACAAATCAGGGAATTTCCACTTACAATATTATTATTATTATTAATTTCATTTTCCTATAATGTTGTTATTTAACTTGTAATGCATTTTAAAAGATGGTAATGTTTTTTTAATTAACTTTCATTTGATGAAAAGAAAAAAGTTTCAAAATAAATTAGCTTTCTTTTGAGAGAAAAACAAAGTTAATTTGTTCCCTTCACCCAACCTATTGGATACCATTGGTTACGAATTCTCACTAGAACTACTGCGGGGGGGGGCAACTAATCCATTATTTAACTGGTCACTACTAGTGAACATCAGATTAATTTTCAAGTGAGATAGTTTGTTGGGAGTTGTTTGGTTTCAAGTTTGACCATGAATTGATATCAGACAGAGAACTATTCAAAACCAACAGGGAGTACTGGACAGTTGTTCTGTCCTAGATTTGGAGTCTTAAGCAGCACTTGTATCCAATACACCATAAGAGATCGGACCCAAGACCATTCAGCCATATTGGGCTGAAATTCAGTGACCTGTGAAGTGAATCCCCTAACCTCTGTCCCAAACTATGATGAAACAGTACTACTGTCCAGTCCGTGATCAAACTAGAAACAAATCAAATCCCTACAAACTAATTCTTGAGAAGAAAATTTAATTTCTGTTTCTTTGTGGAATATTGATATGACTGTCAATACACTTGGTAATTGCGCTAACGAATTTTCTGCCTAGTCGACTCGCGATCCCTATTGTTCTAACCGATATTAGCAGCAACAACAACACGATACGATACCAGCGAAAACACGACGCAAGAAGAGAAGACTGACTGTTGACGTGGACAGCTTTTACTGTCTTGTATGCAACAGTGGAAATGATTGACAGTGCTTGCCTATATATATATATATATATATATATATATATATATGCTTTAAAATAACTATGAGAGACATTAATGACATTGATTAATTAAAACAGTCAACAACCAATAGGATTTCAAAGGTTATAAGTGGGTTGAGGGAAATACAAACAGACATATGAAATTGACATATAGAAAATTAGGCCTATATATCATATATAACTTCTAGTAGACTTACAAGCTATACGAAACTTATTGGGCTAATGAAAACTAGTCAACCACAATAACAGCAACAACAAGACCGCCGACACGCGAAATACAAAAAGACAGAAGGCGGACCGTCGACAAGAGCGCTTTTGCTATCTCAAACATACGAAAATGATGCCACTTATGTAAATATATATATATGTGCGTCGGTGGCACAGTGGTTAGGACTCTCGCCGACCATGCACATGGTCCGGGGTTCGATCCCCTGCCGACGCACACCCGATATCTATGGTCTGCCTGCAAAATTTGGACTACCGATATCCATGCTGAAAATGCCATACTTGTACTGAAAATACGGTGTGGCATCAAGCTGTGATTAAATATATATATATATATATATGTAGGTTTCAAGTGACCTTGAAAACGCCGAAATTCACTGACAGGATAAAAGAGTTAGCAGCCAATATGCGTTCTGGCTTCAACTAACCCTGGAAATAGATATCCTGCATTACCTATCAGAAATCACATCATAGAGACTTAATAAAGCTGACTTCAATACTATTTCTAAACCCATATATGTATGAAATAAATTTAGGTTATATACAGAAATTTGTTGAAGCTGTATGTTTGAAAAGGCTTGAATCCGTTTGATGTGTTTAAAAATTATCTTGAAATACTGAATTTTCCATAGTAGAATTTATAAGAACAAATGTAAGTGATTGATATTATGTTTTCAATTAGACCTCAGCAGGTACTACTCTTATATAGATAATATTTATTTGTAAAGTTTAGTATAAACCAGTCATAGTGATTCTTCAACAGGACGATAAAATTGTGCATATAAATCGTGCAATTAGTCATAATGATACTACTAGAACAAGACATGTTAGCGAACAATATATTGTTGTTTTCAGCTAAATCTTCTCCAGGCTTCACTCTAATTTACATAGATCTATGTATAAAAATTTTAGCCAATGACGGTGAGTTTGTGGATTAAATAATGATGTCAGCTCATGATGAAATCCTCCATGCAATCAAACAAAACCAATACTTGAAAATTAATCTGATGCTCACTAGTGACTGGCCCTATTCAGGCAGTTAACCTGGGGTTCTAGCGGGAAGCCGTGACCAGTAGGGTACAGCAGGTTAAAGATGAGGCAGTAACTCACTGAAGTAAACATTGCGAAATGGTCGCGCTATGTCGTGAATTGGCAGAAGTTAGAATTCAAGGACCATTGGATCGGGTCCCATTGGCTCAATGGTTTACGAGCTCGCCTTGTAACCAGGAGGCCCTGGGTTCGAATCCCGGTGGGTGCGTACTGATAAAGAGTCCCAAACTAGGACGAAACAGCTGTCCAGTACTCCCAGGTTTTCCAACAGTTCTCTAACTGATGTCAGCTCATGATGAAATCCTCCATGCAATCAAACAAAATCCCTACAAAACCAATATTTGAAAACAATAAAAATGTTTCGAATTTCAGTAATAACGATGATTATAATGATGGCATAATTATAATAATCTTTATGCAGGTTGCTGTAATAACAACAAAGGTAGTAATATGCGTATGTGTAGACAATTCAATAAATTAGGTCAAATCTCGAAAGCTACGTAGTATTAAAGGTGAAGTGGACAGATAATCAGAGTGTGAATAAGTATCATTAAAACACAAAGGATATGGAAAATAAGACAGGGTGGGAGGGTTTTAATTAGACTTTACCCAGGCCAAAGGAAAGACAAAGGTAGAATAAACTTCTTTTGTATGCAAAGACTAGGATTGTTCTCTAGAATTCCCTTAAGTTTAGCTATGAGTAAAAGGTGGGTTAAAATTCTGTTCGAAAGGCTCTATGGAATGCTTTAGATAACTTTGAAGACACTACTTCTGTCCACTTGGTGACCGCTGTCAATCAAATCAGTCAAAATAGAATTTCTTATGGATTTTATTTGTCCTTTTCCGAACAATGAAGGAAGATGTTCGTTAATGTTGCGTTTGTTGAGCTGTCTAATTGTTCGCCCTATATAGCTTTCTCAGTAGGAGCAGCTTAATTTGTAGATACACATAGGAGTGGCACAGTTGGGTAGCTTGTCTTTCGCTTGAGCAATCATGATTGGTCGGCTGGAAATTGACAAACAAAGGGTGGCGGCAGTATAAGTCCGTTTTATTGCTCGATAATCTTAGATGTAGGACTTCACTAGCCACGTCCCCATTAAATTGCAATTTTAGGAACAGTTGTCTCTTTTTAACTTTTGTCAGTTTCTCTTTATTATACCTGGTGTTCATGTGCCTGTCTCCTTACAAATTTAATAGGATAACCCATTTGGACCAGAGTATTTTGGATGCATCCTAACTAATTTCTAGGGAGTCATCTGTATAGATCCATCTCGCTCTGTTCGTGAGGCATCTGACCAAATTGATTTTGTATCGGACTGGTACAAGATTGAAGAAATGTGTGTATTGTCCTACATATGTAGGTTTTCTATAGACATCTCTCTTGAGTGAACCATCCTCTTTTCATCTCAACTGAACACCAAGGAGGTGTAGTCTACCATCATATTCTTCTTCACAAGTGAAGATAAGCGATGGATGTGCATCATTTAATTTTATTAACATTTCACTCTTCTCAGCTTTCTCATCAAGAATAATAAACGTATCATCAACATAGCGAAAATAAGAATCCATTTTATCTATTACTTGTTTCAATGGACCATTTTCAAGCTTAGCGAGATAGAAATCTGCCAAAATTGGACCCAATGGAGAACCCATGACAATACCGTCGATTTGTCTGTAATAAAGGTTGTTAAACTTTGAAGTGTACATTCATAGTGCACCTTAGAAGCAGCTCTTTCAGACTAATAATTGGAATTCCGATGTCTAACCGCTTTTCTAGTATTTGTCGGAAGTTAAGTATTACTTCCAGGAGGTTTAAGAGGGTTGTAGGTTACCTCTGAGATTACTCCATTTTTTCTCAGCTCCATTGGCGTGTCTGTTTGCTGCTTCTCAGCCTTTCCGTCTAGATTTATTGGGTAGTTAAGCTTTTGGAATTTCGTTTCATCGGTCAAAAGTGAATTCAGTAACACTAGTAGTAATAATTCTACCAATAGCAAAGATGAAAATAGTGGAGTAGTTTGTGATAAGAAGAATAATCAGAAATGACATGATTAAACGTAGTAGATAAAAGCTAAGAAAGAGGAATAGTTAGATTAAATATTGCTGGATTAGAAGGGAAGTAATAATAATAACAATAATTTGCTTTATTCCAGAAACAGTACAAGTGGTACAGTGTGGAATTTTCAGCACATATCTATAATATTCGCATCTAATTTTATCAAACATTTAAAGGAGTATTTTCAAAAAAATAAATAAATATAAAGACAGGAAAAACACAAAATAATTTTTTTTAATGCAAATACAATATCAAGAAGTAGAAAGGAAAATAAACATCATATAATAATAATAATTCAGTATTGGGTAGTGGAAGCTATCATATGATTATGCATGGTGACAGTAAAGCTATAGTCATACAAGAAGATATGAAATGATATTTAAGAAAGTTTATCGCCAAGATGATCAGTTAATTTGGTTAAAACAACTCTAAACAATCATAAAATAACATTTCAGGGTTGTTGTTTTGCTTTTTATTGTCAGGTCTAATGCAGTGTTTGTAGTGGTAGTGTGAGTAATCCTGCATAATACAAAATTTTTAAGGTGGTGATAATGGCTTTCACAACCAATGATTGTCAGTTTAATATTGCCGAAAAGTATAGAAAAATAAGAAAAAACAGCCACAAAAACCTAATAATTACATGATGGTTAATGACAGGACAATTTCGTAATACTCATAGTGCTAATAGAGTCGGAACCAGTAGATACACAAAAGAAGGAATAGAGTAAAGTACAAAAAAGTGATCCAATGTTAATAATTTAGGTAGCTAAGTATGTTTAAGATGGAGGTCACTATAGAATACAAAATAAGAAAGAAATAAAAGAGCCTAAAATTATGTTATTAACAACAAAGCAAGTCATAGGTTTCACGCCTAACATTGTCTCTGTCGCTTAGAACACGGGCCAAGTATGGTATCGTTGAGTTCCTGTACTTGGTTGTACGAGCATAG